GGTCTTGTGTTATGTATGTGGAAGTCACGTGGATCATGGAGGGCTCAAGTGTAATATCAAGTTTTTGTTTTTTGGGTCGAAAAGTGTAATATCAGTTAAATCACAAGTTTTTCTAGTTGTGAGAATTGACATTAAAGTTAACGGTCAGAAACTGTGTTTGTTGAGAAAGTGTTAAGAATCACAAGCAGTTTATATGTGTATATATATATTCGATCAATTTATTTCAAACGTTTAATTTTCAGAATATCCGTTTTAGTTTATTTTTTTTTGTATAAAAGAATTAACAAAAATAGTATGTTATGCAATTAATTCGTTAAAAACGCTAATTGACGTTTGTATTTCAAATGTTTGTAAGAATATATGACACATAAACTTGTTCAGTTTAAGAATTTATGTATATTTTTTAAGAAAATCTATCAAATAAAAATAATTAAACTATACATATATATATATATATATATATATATATATATATATTTGTAATGATACAAATCGTTAGTAGTTTCGGTTCATGTTTATTTTCGCTATTTGAAGATAATGTAAATATAATAATTTTTCTGGTGTAATTGTGTATATACACTGCGTCAAAACTTAGCTAATGAAGACATAACATTTCTATATTTTTTTATGTCAATTGCTTAGAAATTAAATTGGAAAAAGGAAAGTGAAAATAATCAAAACCAACAATTTTGATATTTGTTTGTTTCTTGTAAACCGTTGAAACTTCGTCACGTGGATCACAAAAGTAATACTTTATTGAAGATGATGAGTCACACAACTCACAAAGACATAAGTCTCAGATCTGACTATTGCGAATCTTCTTCTTTCTCAGTTTTCCCTAAAAACCATTCAAAGTTGAAACCATTCTCAGTTTCTCGTGTCCATTTCTATTACATCAATATTTTGATTTTCTTCAATCTTAAACTTATATCGAGACAAATATTTTCAGTGTATATATAAGCAACTTGCGTCATTAACGTAACCATGCACTCTTAAGTATAATTTTAGTAGTAGTATTAAACTATATACGATTGTCTGAACCTTGCATGATTTTTGCCACTTCTTATAATTCCATTCAAACAAGTTAAGATTAAACAATCGTTAGGTGTTGAAAATTTGTGATATATATAATCGAATCAAGACTTTTTTTTTTCTTTCTATAATTTATAATCGTACGGAAAACAAACTAATATAAATTATACACTAGAAAAAAAAGACGGTGCCTACCAAATGATTTGATTATTGGTGGGTTTTACATATTAATAAATCTTAATATTACAAATTATTATTTTTTGTATCTGATGAATAACGACACACGAGACAAGAGAACAATGTATTTTTAAAGATGTAACAAGAAGATTAAGGCTTGTTAAAAATTGGTATTCAAAAGATCTGAAAACAAAAAGTAAAGGAGTGATAATTTTAAAATTAGATCTCTCTCTTCACTTCTACCGAAATTACATTTTTACCCCTAATTTGATTTAACAAAAAATAAAAAACTGATATTTGCTAAAATAGCATATCATGTAAATCGTATGTTACCGCTATACATTATAAGTTATTTGATAACTACATAGTTATATAGTTAAATCATTTATAGTTATTCATATGTTAGCGCTATTAACTATATAAATCAGATGTTACCGCTATACATTATAAATTAACTACATAGTTATATAGTTAAATCATTTATAGTTATTCATATGTTAGCGCTATTAACTATATAAATCAGATGTTACCGCTATACATTATAAATTATTTGATAACCTCATAGGTATATAGTTAAATTATTTATGTTAGCGGTGCTATAAATTATAAATTATTTGATAAATTCATAATTATCGAGTTAAATTATTTATTATATAATTGATATCAACTAACTTATATATTAACATGTTAATTTATTATGATATTTCATCTGTTATGTTAACTTATACATAAGAAACATATAAATGATATGTAAAGATTGTTCTAAAATTTTATGGATATATATTTTGTTATGTGCTAAAATATTTGTTATCTATCTTAGTGGTAGCTTTGTCCAATTTAAGTAGCTAAGAGAGAGAACTAATTAAAAAAATAGCATGTATAGATTCTTAATTTTTTATTTATTTGAGTACACCCATTGCAGTTTCCCAGAAGATTATAGGAGATTTTACAATTTTCTTCATAAAATCCAAAAACCAATTTCTATGGTTTTCTACAAATATAACGTGTTTCTTTAATTATTATTTTTTATTATTATTTGTTTTTCAAAAAATTTCAAAAACTAAAATCTACAGCAAAAATCAAAAACTAAAAACAAAACCAAAAACCAAAAACTAAAAACTAAAACCCATTTAAAAACTACAAAACATTCATGGCTTATATTGTGTAATGTGTTTTGAGCCTTTGACATGCATCGCTTTTTTTCGTTGTGGTATGCTATAAATTATAGCCTATAATGTTATAAATGATTTATAAAAGTTCAATCATAACTATTCATTATAATCACAGTAATAAGACACAAAACATTTGCTTTGATGATATTAAGACATTAGTCAGGTGGTCTTAAGGTCTACCTTTAAACATGTTAATCAAATTTGCATCACCGTCCGTCATCTACAATACCCATTTTTAATATGTTTTATTTTCAACATTTTGCTTAGTAATTGGATTCTTTAGTTTTAAATTTTGATCGTTACAAACAAAAACAGTCATCATAACGTGATTTTTGGGTTTTGGTTAGATCATGTATGTGGATGGGATCATGTTACCTGATTCATTCTTGGCTCGACAACCAAGAATATATATGTATATATTTTTTGGACAAAGAATATTGTTGTTTTATGTTTTTTTTTGTCATCAGTTGTTTTATGTTTCTGTATTTTTTTTACTATTTTTTTCGGGGTATTTTCCATGTTGATTTCGAATTTTGTCACTTGTCGATATGCTTACATAGTTATAATGTATTCCAAAGAAAAGAAAAGAGAATTTTTATGATTAAAAAAAAATAGAAAAACTTTTAAGAGCCCATGGGCCTAATACTTGGTTGTATTTGGTCACATCGGCAATTACGTTCGACGGTCCAAATGTTTCTTAAGATTTTTCTTTTTCATTATTTTCTAATAATAGTACATTTTGTTTTTGGTATATATATATATATATATATATATATATATATCTTAAAAACTGAAATTTTTATTAAACATTTGCATTTAAAACCTCAAACAACATTTATTATAAAAAAAATTTGAAGTATTTATATGATATTTAAATATTTTTTTGAAAGATCGCTAGAAACTCTCTGCCTAAACGTCCGCATCATATTGCATGATTTAGAATGAGTTTAATATATTGCATCGTCCAATCATATTGCATGATTTAGTACATTTCTCGTCGAGCTGGAATATATGTATATTACTAAAGAAACATTTTATAGATTTTTCGATGATATATCAATTTAGTCTAATAGAATCTTTTTCTGGTCTCCCAGAATTTGTTCATTCCATAAGTATCGTAGTTTGTTGCGGATTCAGATTTTATTATGCAAAATACTAATAATGGGTTTCGTTAATTAGGATCATTGACTACATGGACAACAATATATAAGATACGTATATTATATAGCATATCAGATATAAATATAATTGTACTACATGAACAAGAAGATTCGTCCAACGAGATTACGACTGTTAATTTTCTAACCATAACACGTGGTTGATCACGCGTAAAAGAGCAAATTTTATAGCTACATCAACAATGGTCTATTTTGAAGTTCAAAACTACACAAATTTTACAATTTCTTTCGAACCCTAAATCTCTAGTGTTGTATTTACTGACCTATTTGAGATTTTAAAATTGTGTAAAATCACTTTGGGAAGAAAGATTTTCTATTATTAAAATAGTCTAAAAATCAAGAGATCATAAGGTTTTGTTCTGAATTTTGCCGGTTCTGATCATGTAACAGTCCAAAGTCTACTCTAAAGATGATTTTTTGCTGTGATTTGATTACGTTCTGCCATACAAAAAAAAAGTACCATTTCATAACGTTTTATAATGTTCTAATGTAAAAATTATTTTGCTCAATCTGGTGGACTTGGACTATGATGGGTTGATGAATATATTTTAAAAAAATTTTAATTACAAGTTTCTCCTAAACTATATTATATTAAAGCATTTACACCAGTAAAAGCATTACCATGTCACAAAATCTTTAAAATACCCTCGAGCCCCCAAGCATTCACAACTCTTATGTATCTTTATCGCATGTGATGATATGACTTGTGACACAATATATGATCAAGACATTTATTTATGAATTGAATAATGAAACTTTTAGAATTTATGCAATGATGATTTGACAGAATATATTAGAGGAAATTTAGAAAATTGTCATGTAGTATATTGCATGTTCTTGAAAAAAAAAATAAGTACATAAAAAAAGGAGTGAAGATTGAGGAGTGATAAAATGGGAATGTACAATGGAGATTAATAGCCAATCACAATTCAAAAGGTGGTTGCCTTTTAGGCTTTTTTTTATTCCAACTACTGTGGCAAAAATTAAATAAGATAAAAAAGAGACATATCACTTTTCTTTTCACTTTTTTTTTTCTTTTTGATTTTATAAATTCTTAGTTGAAAATATTAATTTTGCAATATTCAGTTTTAGTTTTCAATGATAAAAGTTGCAAAAGAAATCTATCACAACAGATTTGCCCGTTGCCACATATCCCACTTTCCATTTTGTTGATATTATACATAGATAACGATTATATGGTGTAACGCCCGTGTTCTGAAAATTAATAGGAGACTTGAATGTGTATAAGAATTAGGGTGGAGCCGGTTTAATTCCGGTTGATTTCCTAAACTGGTTGATTTGTTTAATTGAACCAAAAGAGATTTAATTAAAATCGGTTTAGGTAAATTCTGGTTTAATCAGAATTAAACCAAAAACCCTAGTTTTATAAAGAACGCTTCTTCTCTCTTTTGTTTTGTGGCTGTTGTTTCTGAGAGTGGAGTTGAGAAAAGGAGAAGGAGAAGTTTACTTGTGAAAAGGAGAGTGTTAGCTTTGCTTTGGTGTTTAAGGCAAGAGAAGCAGATCCGTCACGTTCTGGTAGAATAGAGTTACGACGTATCAAATCTTATCGAAAGGTAATGAATTTTGGTAGGTTTGTTCTTAAGGCGTGTACGTTGATTCTCCTTTTTACAGAAGTGAATTTGGATTAATACTCAGTGAGTTATATGCAGTTTGGTGAGACGCGTTTTCTCTGTTGCGAACTGGGATCAGCGGAGTTTGTAAGTGCGATCGTGGATTCATTGTTTCTCCGATCGGCACCAAATTTCGTAGGGGGCTTCGTGACGTCTGGATCTTGCTTTTCACCGTAGGGATTAAGAAGTTAACGGTTAGTTTATGTTTTAGGGCTTCGTTTCTGCGGCTGTAGTTTTTTTGATGTTTCTGTCCTTTTGGTTCTTAGAGATTTGTGTTTGTGTGGTTTGTTGTAGGGCGTTGTTTGGCTGTTGCAGTCACGAAGAGAGTATTTCCTGGCTGTTTTTGTAACTCAAATCACCTTGTTAAGGTGAGTGCGTGACCATGAGCTTATCTAAGCGATTGAGATTGAGTGACTTGTTGTGTGATGATTTGTAGGTGAACTGGATGTGTTATTGGATGTTTAGCTTGCTGGATGGTTTGTTTTTGTTATATATGTGGGTGTTATCTCATTGCTTGTGTGTATAGCTCGTAGATGGGAGGATCGCCCTCACTAAGTATTTATGAAATACTTATGCATCTCTTTCTTTGATGCAGGTAAAAGCAAAGTGTGATCCGTGGAATCATGGCGAGGAGAGGAGGATGATCTAGGCACTCATTGGTGTTTTAGATTATTGTTGGATTTGTTAGGGTGTTAGAATGGAATTTAGAAACATGTTAGGAGGATCATGTTTTGGAATAATGTTTGGTTGAACTTGTTGGTTTAATGGAATCGTATTATTGGATTTTCGGTTAAGTCTTCCGCTGGATAATATTGTTGGTTTACTTTAATGAGATTGCTTGGTTTAATTGATTTAAATTATTATGGCCGGTTTAGCTGGTTCGAATTAATTGGGTTAATCCGGTTTGCATGTTTAAAAGAAAAAAAATGGGATGGGTTCTTTCATATGGTCTTTCACTTATATTTTTGAAAGTTGGTAAACAAATTAGTTTTAAAATATTTGCATGCAATGTGGAATATTAAATAATTTATTTTATATGTGGTACTTTTGAAATCGTAGCAAATTATTTGGTCTAAAGGAACCTAATAATTCGAGATATTGTTCTGATTTTCTATGTAACAATATAAAATCAAATTCTAACACTAAAATATTTTTAAAAATAATAGTCAGAGTATATGGTACTGTTTCGTTATTTAAATTCCTAATAACACTGGTGGATGGGGATTAAAAAACATATAAATTAGAGAACTTAAATGTTTTAGAATTTGTTTAAGAAATTTCATGCCAAAAGTTGAACAAAAACTAGAATAATAATTCTGATTTTAAAGAAATATAAACCGCTCAGCTACATTTCTCTCCATCTACAAGTTGGATGTATTGAGTCTATTGACCATTCAAACAAAACATCATTAGGGTAAACTCTAACCACAAGTTTATTTTATTTATCATGATTTTCTAACTACATTTATCATCATTTCTTGTTTTTTTGTCGCATATGCGTATGTATTAATAAATTAAAAAGATATTGTTTCGATATCGAGGAATAATAAAAATAAAATAAACGGAGAGTTCACTTTCCTTTGTTATATAAATGAAACCCATCATCTATTGTATTATTTTTACAGTTTTTCTAATCATTTTTAAGTTACCACTAAAACTAAGAAATGGTTAAAAGCACTAGTGTCCTGAAACAAGTAAAATAGCTCAACTGCTATATTATTTTTTGACATCACTGCACACATCATTTTTCACCTAGAAAAATTATATACTTTTTTGGGGAGAAAATCAGAAAAACTTACATTAAACGAATAGCAAAACTATTTTTGATTCAACTTTGCTCATGAACTTGTGCTACTCACATAGCTTTTAAAGAAAGAATCAATAAACCATATATATAGTTTTGGTTAGGTATCTATATATATATATATATATATATATATATATAGTCAAAGGGTAACAGTTTCCATATATAATACAAATATAATTTCATAAGTTTTTAATTGACAAAGTGTGGTAAATATCTTGAAACATAAAAAATAAAAATTAAATCGTTTTATAGACAAAAAAAAAATCACAAATTATTCTCTTTATAAGTATAACTCTTAAGGATGTCTTCTCTTTCATTCTCTCTATTTAACTCCTTCTCCTCTCTCTCTCTATTTTTGGGTTCTTTGAGTTTGTAGAAAATGGCTGATGAGAACGAAGTCAAGGATCCTCGTATCGATGGTATCAAAACTAAGATCCGAGTCGTTCCAGATTTTCCCAAGAAAGGTTAGCTTCTTTCTTTCTTTGTTTATATAAAGCTCTCTCAGTTTCATATATATATTTTTAACTTCTTAAGAAAGATTTTCCCAAGAAAGGTTAGAAGTTTTTGTTTTAATGTCTGTGTTGTTTTGGTTGCTGAGACAAATTGTAGTATATATGTTACATTGTTGTCATTACTGTCAAACACGACTTGGGAAGTTATAGAGATACAATGCAATTACTATTTTCTTGATTAACAAATGTGTTTAGATTAGTTAAGAATAATAATGTGAAAATATTTTGTAGGAATAATGTTTCAAGACATAACAACACTGCTGCTGGATCCTAAAGCTTTTAAAGACACTATTGATTTGTTTGTTGAGAGGTATCGAGACATGAACATCTCGGTGGTTGCAGGTACTATTATTATTTTTGATTAATATATAGTTTTATATATATATATATATATAAAGTCAATTTGATGACAAAAAAAAAAAAAAAAAGTCAAAACAAAAATAATTTATAATTAATTTATAAACCTCGTGTTGAACAAAAATTATGTATAATCATGTTGATGCATCTAGTTGAAGAGATAATATAAAAATTGGGTGAAGTTTATCTGTATTGTTTAGGAATCATGATTCATAACATTGTTGCATAGTGGTAAGAAATAAGAATGTTTGCCACAAGTATATCGAATTTAAGGTTCACATTTTTTATATTTGAATTAAGACCTTAACCAAATCAAGATGAAAAATTAACAGGAGAATTCAAAATGAGAAAAGGCGATTTTTTTTTCTTTTTCGAATTTACGAAACTAAAAATTGGACACCAAACGAAATGCAGCTTCAACTTGATGTTTATTTTTCATAAACTGAGTAAATTAAAATTGAAACATAAACGAAATTAAATAGATTGATTAGACATTCTTAAAGTGTAATCTGGTTTGGATAAATGGGTGGTTGATTTATTGATGCCACCTTTTGAAAAAAGGGTTGGCCTCTAAATAAAGTTTCTTCGTTCTATTTTTTCTTCCTCATCATTGTTATTCAACGGCTCTCTTTATTTCAATGTTGGGTGATGGTAAAACATAACTATTATATTTCTTAGTCATTGGACTCCATAAATATAATAAAAAGTCTGATAGAGTCGTACCTCTGTTTAAATGCACATTTTTGCTCGTGTTAATAACTAATAATATAAAATATTTTAGAAGTTTTAATATAAATATATATTCTAAAATTTGAGATTACCATTTGCAAATTAAAAGTTAATTATTTGAAATCTTATAAATATATATAATAATAGATTTTATTTATTAAAGGAAAATATATATTTTATTTTACCTTTTTATATATAATAATATAATAGAATCTAGTATCTTATTTTTTTATATATAATGCGATGTACTTTTAAATAAAAAATATATAATATGATGTTTTTATAATAAATGTTTAATTTAAATAAAAGTAACTACTTTATTAAAATTTTATAAAAGTTAAAGTAAATGGGTTAATTTGCAACTTTTCTAAATATATTGTGTTAATATTAAAATTTTTTAAAAATTTATTTGGAATATTCTATTATAGAGGGAAAAGTAGAGGAAACCATTGGAGCAAAAGTCACCTCTATTATAGAGGCAAAAATAGCAAAAACCATTAGAAATGGTCTAAACTGAACATTCATCAGAGATACACATACAAAAAAATAAAGAATTTTCATATATATATATATATATATATATTAGAAGTTCAAATTCATGTAAACTTGGTCTTTTGTATCATTTAATCCTGTACTAGATCTAGAATAATCTGTCTGTTGGGTTTGTGTTATACAGACAAAAGAGTACTCAGTTCTTTGGTGTTATTGTTTTCTTTTGTTTAAGTCAATAACTTTGACTTTGGCTCTTCCTTTACAAGAATGTTTTCAAGAAATCTTCTACTAACAGTCGAAGAATTAGGGTTTCTCGTGGGTGGCTCTCGCATGCACGTTATGTGATATATAGTGCCCTATTAGTATTGATCCTAATTACAAAATAATAATGACAATTAAAATTTCAAAAGTCTCATATTAATATAGCTTATTTATTTATTTGCTTGTTTATATATATATAGGTATAGAGGCTCGCGGTTTCATATTTGGTCCATCCATCGCATTAGCCATTGGAGCAAAATTCGTTCCCCTTCGTAAACCCAAGAAATTGCCTGGTTCAGCACCATTCCCCCAAAACCTTTATAACATTTTTTTTTTTTTCATTATTCTTAAAGACCAAACAATTAATAAAACAAAACAACTATATATATATCTAAGGTTTATAACTATATATTATTCATAATCAGGTGAAATAATATTTGAAGAGTATGAGTTGGAGTATGGAAGTGACCGGTTAGAAATGCACGTCGAAGCTGTAGATTCCGGTGATCGAGCACTGGTCGTAGATGATCTGATTGCTACCGGCGGGACTCTCTCTGCTGCCATGAATTTACTCAGTAATATAATTTCTCGAATTTTCAGCAACATAACTTTAGAAACTAAGTATTAACGTTATCTATCGAATTAAGAGTTCTCATAATTAATGCCAATTGTTTCAAACCATTTTTCTCAGTTTTCTAAAATAATATTGAAAGTTTATTTATTTGGATTTCCTCGAGTTAAATTAGACCTAATCGGTTCAATATATATGAACTCACATTTTCACTAGTCTTGATGAATATTCATTCACTGTGTTAGGGAGAGTTGGAGCAGAAGTAGTTGAATGTGCATGTGTTATTGAGTTACCCGAATTAAAGGTAAGTTAACCTTCATGAAAATATTGTTTTCTTGTTATTTTCACAGTATATATATAAAATTAAGTACTTGGTTGTGCGACATTTAAAATTTGCAGGGGAGGGAGAGATTAGAAGGAAAGCCATTGTATGTGCTCGTTGAGTATCGATGAAGTATCTCATTATTTTGTTAATTGGAGAAAATTACTAGTGAGGACGACAAAGCTAAAACCTCATGCATAATGGTTTATAAATTGGTGAAAATACAATTTGGATCATCAATTGGTAGGTTAATTTATGGAATAAAGGGATTTAACGTACGGGCTAAGCTTAAACGTTTACATTTGGATTTTGCAAAATTTCATGTTCCATCTATTTATGTATGAGAATTATACCCCATGGGAATTGAATGGGCTTGGTTCGTAACTAGATACTAAATTAATTAATTGTTTTTCTTTGTTATATAGTATTGTGATGTTACGTTTTTTGGTTCATATCTGGTTGGCATATTCTGAATACGAATTTATGTTAGGGCTTGTGTAACAATTTACCTTCTCATTATTTAATTTGAAAACCCTTTAATTTATACAACTTTATGTGTCGAAACCAGCAAAATACATTTTTGCTAAAGATTCATATATTTTTTTTATAGTTTTACCTTATCTTATTCAACCAATCATTTAGATTTGGGTTGTATAAAACATTCAAGTTGTTTTGTTTTGTTTTCTTGCTTATGTCGTACATGTTCACACCTTTAAGTAAATATTATATATGAATGATTATAATTACCATTAAGTTGGAGACTCATATATACTTGGACACATCTAAGAAGTTGGATGGGTTCAATATAAAGAATGAAACTTGAAATATAAGTCTCCAATCAAACTTAACAAAATACTAATTGCTTGTATTTTACTTCAATATATCTCTCATTCGTATCTGTTTAGTTGTCCCTCTCACCTCATTGTTTGATGAAAATCACCTACTCTACACACATATTCTACATGTACATACTCAAAATAATGTTGTACATGAGCTACTAATTATTAATTGTTACTATAATCTTATACAATTTGAGATAAGCTTCTTTAAGATGATCTTAATTATTGGTTGGTTTTTTTTTTATAATGAAATTTCATATAAATATCATTAAACAGTAAAAAGTAAAATACAAAACGGGATATACATAAATAATACTATCAAACTAAAAAAATCAAAAGTTTTGTCTAGAACAGTTGACATACTACCACATGTATTGTCTGTTTTTTTATGTTATCATATATAAATCAAATAATTAATTTAAGTAATAATGTAAAGAAGTATTATTAGGATTTCCACTTGGTATTGTAATTATGGATCATGGTCATAATTAATGTGAGTTAGTCATTCCACCAAATCTTCAATTTTCATGATTATATATGTTCCTGATCACCTTTTCTAAGTCAAACTAAATCCGCCTAATGATCATCACCAACAAATAAGTAAAGTTAATAATATTATATAATTACTAACTTCGGTTAGAAATGTTGAAGTGCATTGTATGGTACTCAAAACCGACGTTTATATGACTCAGAACGATGGTGACGGATTAAAAATAGTAGACACAAAACAAAAGTAACGTTATCTACTTCAATTCGGCTTTGGCTTTGTTGATATTTCATTCTTCGACCAAAACAAAGACCACCTCGATCTGTCGTGTTCATGCATGTTATATAGTAAAACTCATTATGTATGTATCGGTTCGTAAAATTTGAAAGACGAGAATCTTGTCTTTTCGAATCAAAACCCATTATACTCACGTAACCATTTTGTTCAAATCAGAATGTACCGTATTTTTAACATATGTTCCTCATGATGTATCATTGTTCTATAGAAACTCATCTTCATGCATCACATAAAATTTGTAATAAGACCAAAAACGACAAATATTCTTGTGGAGTTTTAAATTTTCAGTAACTTAATCATTAACAAGACTTACATATTTATATTATTGACCTGTAATTTGCATGTGAGTTTGTCTCTTTTGCAGTCAATGAATTATAGAACCACTTGGTGATTGGTGAATATATATGAAAGCTCATTTATTACAATTTTAAACGACAAGAATATTTGCACCCAAAATAGAAAAAATAATAATACAAAAATTGAATTAGATTGTGGATGAGAGCAGCAAACATCATATTCTGCGGTATAATTTTGTGGTTCCATTACTGTTTGGCGGTGTTCAGTTTTACGAATTACCGTGCATGTTCTGCATTTGGTTTTGGTATATCAAACCATTTTTCATGAATATTATGTGGTGTTTAATCAAATTTTTGTTTGTAAATTTAAATAATTTTATTTTCACCTAATTCTGCGAAAACATAAATGATCTCACTTCGTATATCGTTTCTAGTTTATTGTTGACAAAAAAAAAAAAAATCGTATACGTTTTAATGGTTACCAATTATAAAACGAGTATTGATAATATTTGAAACCAGGCATTAGTAAACTCTTTTCTACTTTTTCAAAAACTTTTTAAATGTTTTGTGTCACTGATCAGAAACCTTATTCACTAATATACAATATAGTTTATATTCGACATATATATATAAATATACGAATACATGTGCATTCAAACAAAACGTAATTACCTTATTTAATCGAAACATCACTTATAAATTTATAATGAATCCTGCCAAACTTTTCTGAACCTTAAACATTAGAAGACCCCAAAGAAAAAAAACCAACAAACTGACCAAGATTTAAATAAAATAAAAATATCAAGCCGATATATATATATAAAAAAAAACCCAAAAAAATGTAACCAAATCATATAAAATTTGATGTTTTTGTAAGTGTTATTATTATAATTATGATATTTTTTACAATCTGAAGAAGATTAAGAAACAAGGCAACACGGCGCGTGCATCGAAAACAATCAACTCACCAGCTCGACCCGCTACTGAATCCGACCCGAATTCACCTTTCTTCGCAACCCGACCCGCTATTACTCTACATATCAACATCGCTCTCCTCCCTCCTCCGCCTCCTGTGCTCGCGTGCGCTTCACCGCTCCCTGAATACGTACAAACCGCCGCTCCTTTACCTCCCGGAAAAACCCACGCGCCGCCGTTAATCCCTCCCGGAATCGGACCCATCGGAAAAAACCTCATCATCTCATTCCCATCAGCCGAACACCTCGCGTCCTCATCACACGCGCCGCCGTCGACTTCATCAGAACCCAATCTCGATTTCACAACCTCTCTGTATTCCTCAAACCGGGTCACAGCTCTTGACCCGTTTTCGACTTTAAAAATCATTTCAACCCGACCCGGAAACTCATCGGAGCTCCAACTAGACTGGAATATAATCTCCACGACGTTTCTCGACGGATGACCGTCGGGCAAGTCGGTGAGAACGGGCAATGCACCAGACTCAGAAGAAGCTCTAGCGGATACGCTTCGTCGGGTCGGGTGATGAGAACTGGAGTCCGATTCGGGTCGACGAGAAGAACGCAAACGCCGTAAACTCGGGTCGGGTTTTGGGTTTTTCTTAACGGATCCGAGTCGGGTATCGACGACGTCTCTAACGTTTTTTCTGCAGCTGTAACTTGGCAATATGAGTTTACCATTGTTGGAGTGGTGATGATAGACATCGTCGAAGGCTCTTGATTTGCAATGTAAAGATTTAACCCACCCGATAGGCATATTCGGATCCGGGTTTGTGTTTTTTGTGTCTGAAGAAGAAGTTGAAGTTTCGAGATTTGTAATAAGGGATTCGAAGCTTTTTGGTTTATGTAACGTATGAATTGAACAATGTCCCGCCGTCTTAAAAACGGAGTTTTGTATCGGTTGGTGTTTTCTTTATAGGAAATGACGATATTACCCTTTATGTAATCTTGGAGTTTTGACACGTGTTATTAATGTCAACGTGAGATCTCAGCTTCTTGTCTGATTTTTGTGACACAAAGTACAATGCTTTTGTTTAATTAGAGAAACTAGGTTTACGACGAACAATGTTGTTTTGATTCTATTCCATAATAGCATGTTATTTTTATGTATATTAATGATTATTTATCAACCAAATATATAAGGATGATGTACGTTATATCAAAAGATCTACTCAATAAGTTATGTTTTATTATAAAAAAAAAGTTATGTTTTATTGATAAGTTCTATATTTGATTTTTATTAGATTTTTCCAAATAAAATTTTAGTCTTATTTGTAACCAAAATAACTTATCTTCTATGTGCATGTTTCAGTTTTAATCGGGTGTCCATATGAGACTTTACTCCATAATTTTGAATTGCATTACTTTTTTGTTGTTGTTAATCATGGACCTTACGCATGGAGTTTTATGAATTAGAAACATTTGTATTCATTCATATGTGTTTGTTTATGAATACGAATTATTTGATGGAAATGATACGTATTCATTGTTTATGGATTAAAAGTTGTTGGAGAAGATACAAATTTTAAAATTGTAAACAAAGACAAGATGTAATAATTAAAAACAGTTGGTGAATTTTTTTTAAAAAATTTCATTTAATGGAGAAAATGGCTATGGCCTATGAGGAATGTGTTTGCTGTTTTAAAACATGATGAGAGCTGAAATGAGTAAAGTCTATTGTCGGGTGTTGAATTTATTGAGGTATTCCCTATATTATTGCAATGAGAAGTTATATTTTTTATAATTTTATTAAAAAAATGAAGAATGATACTATAGGCAAAATGAAAATTATATTAATTTCAGATACTGTATCATCCTTAGGCAATTTTATTTGTATGATAAAGTTCGTTTTAATGAATTATCGGAAACATCAATGCGTGCAATTTACGTTTGCATACGAGTATTAAATATTACACCACCAATGAACGATATAACCCTTTAATTATAGGAATATTCTCATAGAAGTATTTAATAAGTGTAAGAAAACCATGAGAATTAGTAGTGTTGGTTTATAATTATTTTCGGTCTAAATCAATGTTATCTATAAGAGTGTATGCAGATTGTAATTTTAGTGCCTAAACGCATATTCAAAACCTTAATCGAAAAAGAGCAAGTGTATTAGTGGTTCTCACCTTTGTTTGATTTCTCATCAGATCCGGGTTCGAACCCCGTCTTTTTTAAAAAGAGACTTATAATTTGTTATGATGTCCAAAAAAAAACCCCTTTACTCGTATAATTCTAAAACTTAATTCTTAATCACAAACTTAGTTAAAACTCGCAAACTTATCTTGTCCTTTTTTTCCCGAACATGTTAAATATTTTGCTTATAAGTTAAAATGTCATATATTTATATTTGATAAGAAAAAACTACTTTTTGATGACATGCTCAAATAAAATCGTAAACAAAAATTAATTTTGTTTAAAAGAGTTAAAAGAGTTGTTTTCCTTCCTCAATGAAATACCAAACTGATTGGTAACGTATATATTGGTAACGAATGTGAATTTTAGCTATAAACACTTTGACTGTATAAAATTTTGGTTGTCAAATTTTTAATATAAAATATTTAAACTAGCAGAATTTAGTTTTAAAAACTTACAGATAAGATCATAAGATGCTTTGATAAACAAATAAAGAAATAAATAAAAATGGGTTTACAAACTTTAGAAACTGAAAGATAAGTAAAAGTCTCATTCTATAAATTTCGGCTGTTAATTATAAATATTTTTTTAAAATAAAACCTTTACACTTTAAAGTATAAACCAATCATCTCCCTTAAACCTTAATTAGTATTAGATTAAAAAATTTATGACAAGAAAACAAAATTGGCTCATTAATTATTTCTAACAATAATATGTCACCAATATAGCTTAATGCTTTATAAAAAAAATTAAGAAATACGTATGACGTTGGAATGTTGGATTCCGCAAAACGAACTAGAATTTTATTTTTGAATTACTGTTACAAATTTTTTTCCAAAACAGAAGAATTTTTACATTAAATATTTTCAAAGGATCTGTTGGTGAAACAAACTTAGTTAATTTTTAGATGAGAATTATATAGGAATATGAAAAGTATGCGATAGGTAATGCGTCAGTATTAAAATTGTTTACGCACAAATAAGACACAAAAGTGTCACATTTCAAGTATGAAGCACAACCTTTAAGATTTATACACTCCAACACATTTCCTTTTCTATTTAATTTTATAAGTTTGTATGCATAAATACATATCCCTTAGATTCAGATTGACCAAATTAAATTTGCCTTTTAGTCTTTTACAATTAACATTTTTTTTTTTAAGTGAAAATGTGACATTTTTAAAGTGTCAAATTGGTTGCTTATTGATAACTAAAAAAACCTTTAAATCACCTTTTTTTAGTTATGTTTTATTAAGCTAAAAGAGATTTTTGATAAATCAATTACTATATTAATAAAATCTCATTTATAGATTCGAAAAGACCGACAAGTTTTCAGAGATGAGAACACTTGGATATCTCTGACAAGATTCTATAGATCTGAGAGAACCAAATCCTATTCATATTATTGCCCGTCAGAAGCACGGTGTGTCAACTCGTTCCGGTAGAAATAAGGAACCTAAGAAAAGATGTTTACCATATACGACAAGATCACCTTTCCTTTCAAGCTGTCTAATAGGGACTCTTAAACAAAATACATCAAATGCATTCTAACTAAAATTGCACATTTATGTTAAATATACCACTAGTTTGACAAAAAAAAAAGAGAGTTAAATACCTCTTGTTTTTAGTATAGTTTAAAATACACCAAACAAATGATTTTATCCAATAACCAAGGATATTTCAATGTATTTTCTTAAATACATAAATAACAGTATGTTTTGTTTCGTATTTTTTATAAAAATAGTATACACTACACTAAATTACACTATTCAATAAACATAGGGGCCTATTGGTTGTGACTTTTAAGACTTTAAAACCAATTTAAAGTCTTAACAGTTTTATTTTTACCAATCAAGTTTTCTTTACTTTTATTTTTTAAAAAAAATCTAAAAGCCACTTTATTTGTTTTCATCTTTATTTTTTCTTTTTTCTAAAGCCTCAATATTACGGCTGTAGGAACTTTAGTTTTAAAAATTATTATTTTTTTCTCCCTATGGGGCCGATTGGTAACGGCTGTTACTTGTGGCTGTAGAGACTGTGATTGTAAAGACTTTCGCTGTAGAGACTTTTGATGTAGACACTTTAATGGTTAAAAGTTGAATTTGTTTTTTGCTATTATATATAAATTTATAAATATATAATGATCAATATTTATCCATATGTATCATAGTGACAAATAAATAAAGTTTATTAATATTTATAATATAAGAAAATACAATTGTGATATTGAAAATATTAAATTTATAAAGAAAAATGGATGTCAAAAGAAAGGGAAAAAAATGTTGATAATTAATTTACAAAAAAAAAGTTTGAAAAAAATATATATAAATCTATAGAGAGTTTCTAATTATTATAGGGAGAAGAAAAATTAATTTTTAAAACTTATTTGTTCTAAAGTTTCTACAGCCGTGATATTGAGGCTTTAAGAATAAAAAGAAAATAAAGAAGGAAAAAAATAAAGTGGCTTTAAAGACTTTAAAAAAAAATAAAAGTAAAAAAATCTTGATTGGCAAAAATATAGCTGTTAAGACTTTAAAATTGTTTTAAAGCCTTAAAAGTCACAACCAATCGGGCCCATAATAATTAGAAACTCTCTTTAGATTTATATATTTTTTCAAACTTTTTTTTTGTAAATTAATTATAAGCATTTTTTTTCCTTTCTTTTGACATCCACTTTTCTTCATAAATTTAATATTTTCAGTATCACAATTGTATTTTCTTATATTATAAATATTAATTAACTTTATTTATTTATTACTATGTTACATATGGATAAATATTGATCATCATATATTTATTAAAATTATATATAATAGCAAAAAAAAAATCAACTTTTATATATAGGGGGACACCAAAAGAGGTATTTCTCAAAATTCTCTTATATATAATAGCAAAAAAAGGGGGAATTTCAAAAATACCCCTTTTCCAATACCACTTTTTAAAAATACCCCTTTTTCTAATTTTATCAAAATGTCACTATAAAATTTGAAATTTATCAAAAACATATGTGTAAACTTATATTTATAGACACGAATTATCTTTATATGTGTGTAAATATATATATAAATTTCATAAATACCGTATAAATACCTTTTAAAAACCTTTTAAAAATCATTTAAAACTCTTATAAAAACTGTGTAAACCTTTTAAAAACCTCATAAAAACCTTATAAATGCAGTTTAGAACCTTTTAAAACTTTATAAATATTTAGATTTAATCTTACAGCAGTAATGATGATCTTGATGTACCTTATCAACCATATAAAAGTTAATAATTTTTCATATTTGAAAAAGGGTATTTTTGAAAATGGATAAAAAAGAGGAGTATTTTTAAAAAGGGGTACACCAAAAGGGGTATTTCTCAAAAATTCTAAAAAAAAATCAACTTTTAACAGTTGAAGTGTCTACAGCCGAAATTTCTACAGCAAAAGTCTTTACAACGAAAATCTTTAAAGTCACACTCTCTACAGCCACAAGTAACAACCATTACTAATTGACCCCATGGTTAATAGCCTTTCCATGTTCAAATACAACAACTTTTTGATACACATCTAATTATATATAAATATATATACTACAAAATACATCAAATGCATTCTAACTAAAATTGCACATTTATGTTATACATATATATCTAAAAAAATATAGGCATAATAACTAAATTTTACCGTAAATTATAAAAATGATTTGACATTGATTAAAAGTTTGAAACTAACCATGACGGTTATAAGCTAAATATCAAGAAAGGCCATCACATTGAAGAATATATTAAAAGAGTGCTGTAAATTGCTTTTATGATGTGAAATTAAAAATAAATTTTTGGTTTGTCCAAAATAAAAATAAATAAAAAATAAATAAAATTTTTGGTATCACAAACAACATTATTTATATCTGTCAGTTAATGAGTTTATTTGTCAATCTTAGTTCTCCAATTTGTTCCAAATCAAGTAAAATTTCCCTGAGTTAAATATATATTTTTTAAAACTTTTAAAAGACGAATTTAGCTAAGATAAAAGTGATTAGTTATTATTTTATATTTTCTGTAACGTTTAAAAGACTTAAATACATATATTTTAGTTTATTATAAAAATATTTCAATGGATAATATAATAAAACTACATTATTCGAAACGTGTCACATATATAAGCACACCGTTTGTGATTATTTCCATCTTCACGTCTTTGAACAGAAACATCTCTGTTTTTATTTTCAGCATATATCATCAATTCATCGTGTATTATTATTATGCGCATCTTAGATACTCATGACGCATATACACACACATATATATATATATATATATATATATGTTAATAAAATAGATATATTACGCGATCTCTATCTCTCTCCCTCAATTTCTCTGAATCTCTGAACCAAAACAAAAATCTCAAGTTCGCCGAGTATGGGAAGCTTAGATCAAATCTATCAATGTGATCCCTCTTCTCTGTTTTGTTAATCACTTGCGTCTCCTTCGCTGTGATTCGTCAGTTTTTTTTTTTTTTTTTTCATAACGACGATGACTTTGACGAGGTCAAAGAGTCTTCCGGCGACGGAGAACGGTGAATCCGATCGGGAGAAGCTTCAATCAGGGAGATCAGTAGCTGGGATACTCTACAAATGGACTAATTACGGCAAAGGATGGAGATCTAGGTGGTTCTTACTCCGCGATGGAATCTTATCGTATTCTAAGATCCGTAGACCGGAGAATGTGAATATGTTATGTCCTTCCGATGATGTGAGGTTAATCGGAGATATTTCTACCGATCGTCTCTCTAGGATGAAGAGTTGTAGTGGTCGTGGTCGTCGGAAACATCACAAAACCATCGGCATTGTTCATCTCAAGGTATATGCATTCATAGTTCGATTTCATATGTTGAGATTGTTTGGTTAGGTTAAGGTAGTTTCATATTCTTGCTCTGTATCTGGAATCAGTGATGAATTGTGAAAATTGAGATTATTAATTGATTAGTGTTTTACATTGTTAACATTGAATTTGCTACTTAGAGACTGAGAATCACAATTAGAGTAAAGAACCAGTTGGTGAGACCCTTAATGTGACTTTTGTTTCTGACAGAGTAAAGTACTATTATATCATCGTCTTCTTCTCTTCTCTATAGCTTGTATTGTACTTCTTTAGTTTGTCATTATGCATTTCAATTCTTGTTTTTCGATTATGAGAGCCTCTCTCTCTGTCTCTGGTAAAGCTTTTTTTGACTAGCTTGCTTATCTGTAGTGGGCCACAACAACAGGTATTGCAGTACTAAGGGGGTCTCAAAGTTTTAAAAGTTCATTACAGATAAACCAAATAGCCAAAATACAAAATCTTCTTTTGGCTGGTGTCTACTACAGTCTAGTATTGCAGGACCAGGGTCTCTGTTTTGGTTGAATACATTTGACTCATTAACATAATTTACCTCAGTTCAAATTTTTGGTTTGTGTTCGTAGTAAAGCCAAGAATTGTAGAAATTTGTCATCTTTGGTCACATGTAAAAAAAAACTGTTTAATCTTTTGATTTTTTTTTTTAATGTTTGTTCCTTGATTTTCTTCCTAGGCATGGGTCTGAGTTCTTTTGATTTGTATATAATTTTTTTACTTGGCTTTCTTATTCTTGGCCAATTCCATGGATCATTGACCCGTAGGTTCTGTTATATCTTTGTTTTTCTTTTATATGATTGGTGAATGGTAGGTATAGCAAGTCGGTAGGAAATAATCAAGTGTGGATAGATAAATAATGGAGTGTGGCTGTGTGGAAGCTGAAGGCCACCTCTTGGGGAAATTCTAGCCATATATTTTCAGTTAAGTTGTAAGAGTTGTATTTGCTTAATTTAAATAATTCAAAGCTTATCCAGACATAAGGTTTGAGTTTTCTTTTCTTTGGTCCTTTCAGGGTAACTGCATTCTTCTGTGTTTGCTTTTTTATTATATGTTGGAACATAGAGCTTGTGATTATTGGTTGTTCACTGTTCGTTTTTGAACATGAGAGCTTCTAATTTGATCTCAAATTATTTTTACTTCTATAATTGTAAAAAAAAATTACACGGTTGAGGGATAAACCTGTAATTATTTTACTTCTCATTCCATTCTTTTGTTTTCCAGCAGGTTTCATCTTACCGAGAAAGCAAATCTGATCATAGAAAGTTTTATATATTTACTGCAACCAAGACTCTGCATCTGAGGACTGATTCTAGAAGTGATAGAGCTGCATGGTTACAAGCTTTAGCATCAACTAGAGGCATCGTTCCTATCCAGGCAGTTAGTGGGGATTTCTCCTTCGTATCACCAAAGGATTTATCCATATCTACCGAGAGACTAAAGAAACGGTTGCTTGAAGAGGGAATAAACGAGAGTCTTGTAAACGAGTGCGAACAGATCGTGGATGCAGAGTTTACTGAAGTTCAAGAACAAATTAAACTTCTCCACGAAGAGCGGACAAAGTTGCTTGATGCATTGAGGCAGCTCGAGGTAAAGATGACTTCTTGCCTTTCTTTTATGCCTGTATTGGTTTGATTGAGCTCTTTAAAGTGATCTTGCACGTTATGCCCTTTCATATAATGACTTCGTATGCCACGAGCTTTATGTTACAGTTGCATAAATGCATTGATAACACCGGAGCATATACACAAAAGCATGCTGGTTATATATGACATTTAACCGCTAATGGGAAGGTTATTCAAATATATGTTTTACATTCTTTTGTGACATTTAATCGCTAATAGGAAGGTTATTCAAATATATGTTTTACATTTTTTGTATCTCCGCTCATGAGGATATTTGGAACGTTCTGTTGATAATTTCTGAACTTCATAAATCTATGCCTGGGCACAACGCAAATTATGCATCATGCATCAAAAACATATATGTCATGTATTGATATTTGTGAATCTTGCCGTTTTTCAGAATTTGTTAAAGATGATTTTGTTTCACATGCATTTCTATTTCTTGTTGGCTATGCTCCAGTGAGATTTTCTTTGTGTACAGATGGCTAATCTTGAAGTTGAAGCCTCAGGGATCGATGGAAAAGTCTACCAATTAACAAATCATAAGTATTCCAGCTTTAGACGTGGAAAATATAATGGTACACACAATATCTACTGCTTAATTATAGCTATATCCCTCTTTCTCTGTTTTATTAATGCCATTAACCAATCAAGCTGCCAGGATCTTGTAGCTCAGAGTAGAACAATAATTTCAGCTATGATATTCTTTTTATTTTTATTCTTATGTATACAATTTGTATGTTTCTTCTTATGCTTCTTTTACATAGCTTCAATTGAATTGCATAGAGCTTCACTGTGTTGTTTTGCTTGACATTATTTAGTTTCTAGAATGCAGTACAAGTGCTTCATCTGATGATAAGCAAGATTTTGAAGATATATCTGAGGAAGATGAGGCTTCCTTCCATGACACAAAAGAGTCATTTGGAGAATCTGGTGGTGATTCTGTGCAAACGCATTTCAAGAGACGTACAAAGCTTCCTGATCCAGCAGAGAAAGAGAGAGGTGTCAGCCTCTGGTCTATGATCAAAGACAATGTTGGAAAGGATCTCACACGAGTTTGTCTTCCTGTTTATTTCAATGAACCGATCTCCTCTTTGCAAAAGTGCTTTGAAGACTTGGAGTACTCTTATCTCTTGGACCAAGCATATGAATGTGGAAAATCTGTAAGTGACCTCTAAACCTTACTGTTATGTGTAATTTGCTTCCCTCTGTAAATGCAAACAATTTTCTACTCTATACTTATTTTTAGTTCCAGTTACTCAAGATTTTGAATATAAACGTTCCATAATCTTGCATGAATATCTGGAATTTTTCATCATCAGGGGAACAGTCTCCTTAGAGCCCTGAATGTTGCTGCTTTTGCGGTCTCTGGTTATGCTTCCACCGAAGGACGGCACTGTAAACCTTTCAACCCTTTGCTTGGGGAAACTTATGAAGCTGACTTTCCTGAAAAGGGGATTCGTTTCTTCTCTGAGAAGGTAATCTCACAAGTACTCTAATTTAATTGAAGTTTTGATGTGACGAACATATATGTCAATTTTCTCTGACACATGATTAATGATCTACTAGATACAAAACCGGTAATTCATGCAGAAGCTCTCTGATTTAGGAGCAGCTCTTAGTACTGAAACACATTAATTTGCTTGTAACTGATATCTAAATTAGAAAAAATTCAAACTTAGGGAAGTTAAATTGAGAATATTTTCTTAAGAAGTTTGGCCTATAATTCGGCAGGGTATTGTCCTCTCATAATAGGTCTGCCACCATCCAACAGTTATTGCCTGCCATTGTGAAGGTAAAGGGTGGAAGTTCTGGGGAGACACAAACCTCAGGTCAAAGTTTTGGGGGAGATCGATTCAACTTGAACCTGTTGGAATCTTGACTCTCGAGTTTGATGATGGAGAGATTTTCCAGTGGAGCAAAGTATGTAAAATATATAAACTACAAAGCTCCCATCTTTTCGACGTTTTATTTCTGTCCCTGAGACTGATAACTCTATGCTTATATTTTGCTCTTAGGTAACAACAACTATATACAACATCCTACTTGGTAAACTGTACTGTGATCACCATGGGACAATGCAAATTCGTGGGAACCGCCAATATTCTTGTACGCTAAAGTTCAAGGAGCAATCGATTCTCGATAGAAATCCCCACCAGGTAATTTCACAGAGATACTAGCTGCGAATAGTTTTTGATCTATGAGTCTTGAATACCTGACATAACTTCATAATCGTATATATGTATAGGTTAATGGTTTTGTAGAAGATGTAACTGGAAAAAAAGCTGCTACTGTTTTTGGTAAATGGAATGATAGCCTTTACTATGTTGCTGGGGAGGGACTGAACAAGGCAAGCGCCTCATTGCTGTGGAAAGCGACGAAGCCACCACCTAATGTCACAAGATACAACTTAACATCATTCGCGATCACACTAAATGAATTGACACCTGGTTTGGAGGTATATTACAGTGTGCTGCTTTCGGGTTTTACTTATAAATATGAAGTTTGGGTTTCTGCTATACTTACATGTTGTTTTTAGAAGTTAGCTAATCTTGTCGTAATATTTGTTGATTTGGGTGAAGGAAAAGCTCCCTCCAACAGATTCTAGGCTCCGACCAGATCAACGTCACTTGGAGAACGGTGAATATGAGAAGGCAAATGAAGAGAAGCAACGATTAGAGAGAAGACAAAGAATGGTACAGAGAGTATCTCGACACTAGGTTCTCTTAGTCACATGAACCTTTTCATGTTTTAACAACTGTAAATGGCTTTTGATTCTGCAGTCACGGCAAATTCAGGAAAGCGGGTGGAAACCAAGATGGTTCGAGTCACAAGGAGAGAGCCAAGGCTACAAGTATACAAACGATTACTGGAAAGCACGGGATGCGAGAAGTTGGGATGATTGCCCTAACATATTTGGAGAATTCACCGAAGAGATGGCAGATTGTGCATAAGCTGAGGTATTACGAAATGTCAAAAGTTGTGATTCCCCTTCACGCGGTTCATACCCTCAAGAAACTTGTTCAACTGGAATCAGCTTAAGATTAGGATACATTTGGGATCTAATTTGCTATGGTTCAGGACTAAGGAGGAACTTGAGTTGCGGTTCGTCATCGTCCTTCTAGAGATCGTCTCTCCAATTTCAGTTTACGGTTTATCTTAGACCTCAAAGATCTAAAGATGAACTATTCTTTTCATTTTTCTCAGTTCTTTTGTAATAATCTGTTTTTTTTTCTTTTTTCTTTGTTATAGCTTGAAGAGGGTCTTTTAAAGAGTTTATAGAGCCTCACTGTAAAGGGTCAACAAAGAAAAATTTAGTGTGGTTCCAACATTTGGACAAAAATATTCATTGTGATCTATTTGTACTTAATTCTATACAAAAGAAGCCACTCAAATACGACGAATTTATGCATATGTTACAGAAACTACATTGCACAAAATTTCACTTATATAAAGTCAAAACATTTTCATGTGTATTCTGTAAAAATGGTTTTACGATAAAATATACTAGATTTTTTAAAATCTAATAATTCTACAAAGTTGACGAGAGTGATATAAGTTATACTTCTCTTTTTTTATACTGCCGTATTATCTTTGATTAATACGAAATTACGAACCTGTATTTTTTAGAAATAGAGTACGATTGTGAAAAAGTAACGAGTGTAATTAAAATCACAATTTTTGCATATTTATCCTTATAACAAATATAAGAGCATAGAATTTGCAAAATTAACATTAATACAAATCTTATATTTTGCTCTTCGGCTCAATTTGTTGTCGGCCAAACTTAGCTAGATATTTTATAAGTTGATGCGCAATCTTAAGCTTAGTAGTCCATATCTCGTTGATATTAAATGGTTTTTGTATTCAACCATTAATAAGGATCGTCGTATGTTAGATGTTGACGATCATAATTTTCTAAATAAAGGCTTTATATGTTTGGTGTTTTCGTAGGAACTGATGCTATGCCCTGTGCGGTCCAAATATAAGCATAATAAATCTTTATCCTACTGTAAATATTAGTTAGTGGTTTCAAATAATGCCAATCTCGACGATGACGACTGATTAATTCCGACCACACACTCTCGTCCAATTTTGTATAGAAACTTCTTTTATTGCGACGTATTTCAAAATTAAGAAAAGTTACGAAAATGTTTTTTGAACTTTTCTTAGTATCGATACTAAAGTGCATGTAGATGTAAGTATACATGCATGATACATAGCAAGATCGAGCTAATTTATTTAGTGGAAAGGAAAAAAAAAAATGAAATGTGGAAGACATTTGATATAAGATCATTACCAAATTATGAGCAAGAAATTTTTGTTCCTTTTTTTTTTTGTGATAAAGTGAGCAAGAGATTTGATTAAGACGAGTTTCTTAAATGCATGGCTACCCTAAAAGTTAATTCATTACACATTTATTATGGGATATGAATCTTTACTTGTTAGGAAACACTAATTGCATGGACGACTTGTGAGTTGTAAGCTTGATATTTGATTTGTTATGTGTGTATTTCAATAGTAAACCATACTTCAGTAAGACAATTATCATTTGAATAAAATCATAAATCATTAGTACATGTACACGTAACACGTTTGAACACTAACTCTCATGATTATATCCAAAAGGACCAAAACTTACTTTTAATTATGCAATTAATGGATATATAAATAAAGTTCTAAACAATGTATGCATTCAAATTATTAACATAACCCAAACATGAAAGACGTTGTGAACGGTTCACTGATTTATCTGGTAAAAAGCTGGATTTTCTCATATCTTTAAAGTCAATAAAAACATTTGTCCTCGTACGATATATCGTATTTTTCAACGACGCTAGGACCAAAACTAGTAGTAAACCCGACAATAGAACAAGATTTATCGAAACTTCTTCTAAAGAGACAAAGGACAATTGTTAAATAGAATATGTAAATTTGATTGAGCAGCGATTTAATACTTTTCGTATTCAACATCTCACTCGATTAAACGTCAATATCATTTTAATTTTAGTTAATTCAAATAGTTATCTTTCCAGCAAGGGTTACTCAAGAAACAAGAAATCATTCAACTTATATTTCTTTTTTTTAATAATTAAACTCCTTATTTTTTTTTTATTATTTTTTTTTTTTTGAAAACATTAAACTCCTTATTTCAAAAGACACAATTCCATTGTCTTGTATATATGTGCATAATAATTTTTTTATATAATCGAGAAACAACTACTATAGATGACAGAATTTTAAATTTATTTACAACTCTAAAATTTTTACAAGAAATAAGTTAAATTAATATGCTCAAATATTGTTACGTTTTTTCTCTGAACATTTCTAAGTAAAATTTCATAATTCATTTTCCTAGAATTTTGATTATGTGATCCGGATAACATGTTTTCAATTTTCATAATAGCTAATAATCAAAATCCTAGTATATATTGCTAACCATTTTTTTTCCTTGGCTCGTTGCAACTATTTAATAAATATCTTTGCAAGACTCCATATGGAAAATTTCCAATGTGTCCCACATGCGGTACATCAATCAATCGACTTCTGTCATTGAGCTTTCTTACATTCACATCATCACGGGTATACACCCCGACCGAACATGAACGTTTCTATTCATATGAATGTTAAACCGATTATAGATAAAAACACAAAACACAAAAACATATTCTTCAAAGTACTTCCTATGGCATGATCCTAGATGTCAAACGATCATACAAAGTTTTTATAAATTCACTATTCACCTCACGAATTGATTGAGTTCGACCTGGCTATCATAACTATTACTATATACATATAACAACATTTTGAAAGTGTGACGTATTAGGGATAAAATATCCCACGTTGGAAGTTGAGTAGGATCCTGAATAGTATATAAGATATATGGGCATCTCCACTCATAGCCAATTGGTTTTAGGTTGGAAGCCCATAATCTAATATGGTATCAAAGCCCAATCCGCACATACTCAACCCAATCCACAATCGGTCTGGCCCATAGTTGGCCCACCGATTTATGTTCGAACATACCGAGATCTATGACCAGAAGAGCCATCATCTCGAGAGGGCGTATTAGGGATACAATATCCCACATTGGAAGTTGAGTAGGATCCTGATTAATATATAAGATATATGGGTTTCACCACTCATTGCCAATTGGTTTTAAGTTGGAAGTTCACAATCTAATAAGACGTTGGTAACAAAATCACTTTCATTAAACGGGTTGTCGTAGAAATAGATTGTTACAAGCCCGGAAGACAGGGAATGTTTACAAAATAAATAGAAAAAGAAAAAACTATGAAAGTCTCACACATTTATAATTTCACTTTAACAAATTAAAATTCAAACATAAACTCTATCGTACATGCATTTATTCAAACTGTAATAATTCCAAAGAGTATATTGTGCACGTGCATGGCATCGTATGCATAGCTGGTATCGTTCAAGCACATTGGAAACCAGACGGAACCTTTTTGTCACAAACGTTGAGAAGAACGCTGAGAGATATAGGAACGTTAAGGTTGATTCCAAGAACGTTAGCCTTTAGAGCAGTGCAGAGACATATCGCAGCGTCGACATCAGCCAAACCTTGGATGAGCGAGCAACATTGTTTAGATGATGGCTGACCCAACTGGATGTTGAGTAGACCGCTTAGGACATTTCCACATACACCAAGCTTGAGAGCATCTATAGGGCAGTTTTTAGATGAACCAGGGCTGCTAGGAGGTGTGACCGGCTTAGTTGGAGGAGTTGGGACAGAAGGGCGTGGTGGAGGAGGACATGGTGTCGCCTTAGGCTTAGGAGGTGGCTTGGGTTTAGGAATTGGTTTGCAGGTGTTACAACTAGTTGCACTAGGTAAGGTGACAAAGAGGATGTTGAGAGCAAAGAAAAGAGCTAGAAAGGCTGAGTTCTTTGAAGCCATTTTTATCTTTCTTTCTTTGTAAGATAGATACTGTGTTTAAGGGTTACTGAATGAATATAAATGAAGAGAAGGTGTTGGTATTTATAGGCTTTTAGAAGGATGTGAAAGAGGACCAACTTGTTCTAGCTAGTATAATTATATATTTATTGATATTTGTATGATATTACTTGTACTTATCTACACATATATATTTAAATTCTGGCCATTTATTTTCCTACTTGTAGGTTGTAGCTACGTACGTAGAACCTCGAAATTATTGGAATAATTATATTTGTATTTTAAATACCCTTTATATGTAAAGAAAAATTTTGATTTGTGCATTCATATAAGTATTAACGTCAAATTGTCAATGCTGTTATTATCACCACCACCATCATGAGTTTGTGGATGACCCAAGTGCATAGTTTTTCATATTCTTTTGGCTCGTAGCCATTTTACTTGACGGCTTCTATACGTCAAGGTTTGGGAAATAAATTCCTATCTTTTTCCGAACCTTGCTTGGGGAGACACTCCCAAAATATTTTGAAACCTACACGCAAAAAAACTTATATGTTTTTGAATTCAAGAATGCATAACATAGGAAGACATTAAAACCATGCATGATTCGGGTTGGTCTGAGTATGGTAGTCTGGTTTCAAGGGTGTGTATAGTACTATATACACAAGGTTGAAATGACATGTTGTATTTTATATCCTTGCATTACACGAGTTAATCGAGGAATTTGATTAGAACAATTTCATGAAAACCGCAAATCATCAAATTTGATTTTTTTTTTTTCTAAATCATTTTTTACTCATAATAAGCCATATGCTAGACTAGCTAATATCGTGATTTAATGATGTTATGTTATCTAAAAACCAATCGAAAATTAAGTAAGAAAATATGTTGACATATAAAAGAAACGTTCAAGTAAATAAAACACTCAACTTCTACTACAGTCTACATTGCACATTAACACCCTCACAAAACGCCTCGGAACCAAACCGCGTAAGACGTCTCAATCTCACGTCCAAGATGATTTGATCTCTCGTCTCTCTATTTTTATATTGAATATGTAACAATCAAAATCCTATAGCTTTACTTGTACCCTTCATTTCGAGTATATATATATATTGGACACAGTCACAGTAAGTAACGTTAATACAATCAGGTTTTTTACACATCATATTTTATTTCATTTTTGGTCCAACTCAAAGACGGGTTTTTATTGTCGGCCAAAACTAGATATTTTATCGTTCTTAATTATTCGCCATTATCAATTATAAAACATTTATATGTATTAGAGTTTTTATAGGATTTGACGATATGCGGTTCAAATATAACCAGAGGAATATGAAATAATATTAGTGGTTCCAAATGAAGTCAACCTGACGACGACTGGTTAGTAATCTCAGTCCCTCATTTTCGTTTTTTTGCAAGCATACGTTGAATCCTCCTTAGTCCTCATCACTATAAAAAATATATAAAATCTATATTTATTGCAGAGTTTGTCAAATGGAAGAGATATGCATGCATTTTTTTTTTGTCAAACTGCTAAAAATTTAGGAGAATGCCTTTATTAGTTTACATGTACGATATAAACTTAATTGTCACAGTCAAGTTAGTAGTCACTATCGATATCTTATATATATGTCAAGAAACTTTGTATATTCGAGTATGGCTTTTGGAGTTAGGATTTACGATTTGTGAGAGTGTAGCTTTGAGGTTTACTTTGATAAGAGAATATTTTATAACTGTACATTGAAGTCTTGAGAATCAACTATATAACTTTGTGTTCGTAAATATATTTTTGAAATGAAAGAGGATGATTTAGATACTTTATATAACACTAGTCGGTTGCCCGCGCTACGCGCGAAAGTTTATTATATTGTTTATGAGTAATTGGTTCGTATTTTATTTCCAACTTATTTTTTTCACTATACCATACTTTACTTTTTTAAAACTTAAATTGTGTTTGTATAGAAAAACTATTGAGTTTTACCTTCATTAGTCGTTGAGAAATTAAGTGTGTATAGTATAAGTCGAAGTGTGGGCGTAAATGGAAGTGCGGTTGAGAATCATTGAGAAACGTGTGATATTAGGGTTTTTACCAAATATAGATCTAGATGTTAATATTTTGGGCCCTTTTATATGTTGGCATGAAATTTGAACATGATTTGTGGGTTTCGGGCGGATTGTTGTATTTTTAATTGTTTACATTATCTCTTTATATATTTTTATAATTTATTATTTTTTGTTTTACGTTTTCCTTTTTTGGATTTGTCGTACTTTATATATCGTAATGATCATTTATATACTATTATATATTTTCTGATTTTATGTTTTATATATTTTTTTGTTTTTTCATATGGAACAATTTTTAAATTTAACATATTAGTATAATTTACTTTATATTTAGTTTATTTCATGTAATAATATTTTATTTTAATTTTCAATTTTGATGAAATATAGTTAATTTTTTATTTTGTTTATTAGTTTAACATATGTGTTGTATTAGAAACAAATAGTTAAATTCATATTGAAAACTTTTAAGGAAATATTATTTTTATTTTTACCTTTTTATATGTTTATAAAAATAAGAATTCATGTTTCGGTCCGACCTATCTCACTTATGTTAGAAAATGTTTTGAGACATAAATTAGATAGATTTATATTCTCAAAATTTCTTACTTTTTGTTTTATTCCCGTTAAATCCCATTATATTTAGGTTTACATTGTGTAAATATAATCATATCTATATTTTAAACATTCACTAAAAACTATAATCTATTATTTCTATATTTGTTAGTATAATCGATAATTAGTAAGTTTTTTTTTAATTCTTAATCAATTATTTTTTTAGTTTTATAATATATAATATAAAAAAAAGACCTTTCATATTCATTTTGGAAAAACTTATTTACATAGGTTTAAATATTAAAATTAAATGATAAAATAGTATAATTAATTTTTAAAATTAAATAATAAAATGAGGTGGATGATGATGTGCCTTAAGGAGAAGAGAGAAAAAGTTAACTTTATATATATAGATGTTGGTCTAAATAAGCAACTATCCCTTTTTAAAAGTTAAAAGGATATAAATAACAAAAACGCGTTAAATTATATATAAATGAAAAAATAAGAAAACTTTTTTTAGAATGTAAAATACTAAAATTTGGGGATTATTTTTATTTCTAACTTTATTATAAGGGCGCAGAAAAATAGAAGACTTTGACAAGGAGAATTAACTGTAAAACTAGGAACTATTTTTCTTACATGAAGATCTTATCATTAGTTTATATATGAAAAAAACTATTGAGAAATAAAATATCATATTTTTAAGTGATGCGAGGACGAAAATAGAGTTACAATAGAACAAAAAATTATATTATTTCGATATTATTCAAAAGAAACAATGAACAAAACACTTGTTAAAGTTTAATATTTAGCATACCTTACCCCAAAAAAAAGTTTAGTATTTAGCATCCCACACGATTCAACGTCAAGACCTACCGAAAAAAAAACCCTTCAATTTTTCTTTTCAATTAAATAAATAAAATGATAATTAATTTTGTTTTAAGAAATAACTACTACAGGTAACGTACTTTTTAAAATTTAGTTCACCATTTACTTTGTTTTATGTTATGGTAATTATTCAGCATTAAAATTTTCTTCTAAGAGGTAAGTTATTATGCCCATATTTTCTTATGTCTATCTTCTAACATTTCTAAGTAATACTAAATAATCCATTACCTAAACTTTATTTTATTCAATTTTGATTTCTTCGTAAAAATATCTTTGCAACACTCCAAATTTTCCAGATTCCCCACATGCATCCATTTGCTTCTGTCATTGAGCTTTAATATTGTAACTCACATTCACATCATCACGGGCCATTCAAACCCGAACGTGAACATTTATTCGTATGAATGTTAAAACCAATATATAACCAAAACTCATATATAAACATATTCTTTAAAAGTTCTTCTAACGCAAATCGTGGTTGTACATATACGTTCATATCAAGTTTTCGATTAGATAACGTTATACGTTGATATAGTTCTACCTACGAATATAGAGTCTTGGATCGATGCGAATGAAAAATTGAAGCGAAAGAAAAGTCAGCCCATATACTAGTTCAGGATATTCGAGTCGGGGTATTTCTTTGTCTTCGGTAGACAATCTTGTAGTCCAATATCAAGATTTCGCAACATGCAAGTAGTCTATACAAGTACTTGTGGTGATAAAGTTTCAAAGCAGAGGAAGACGAAGCAGAGTGACAAGCTCTTAAACCTCAAAATTTCAAATTAACTAGTCTCCAACTTTGTGGTTTTGTTGTAAAGAGCAAAAAAAAAAAACTCAATAATTTAATCCGAGTTCTTATAATTCAGTTCCTTAACAGTACCGCTCATCATGGAATAAATAGATTATAAAGAAATCAGTGTGACAAGAACATTCGCACAACAACAAATCATTCAGCCAAGATTGAATTTGGGTCAAACTTTTCGTCACACAAAACATGTTGTCAAGGCCTCTTAGACATGGACTCATGTCCATACATATTATCTTCCGAGATCATAAGCTAATGATCTAATGAAAGCACATTAACATCATTATATTGACATGAGTAACATGACAATTCTAATAAAATTATTTTTTACAAACAAGAACAAAACTTTGATTTCAATAACCGAACTATTCATTCTCTTACTAGCTCGTACACTTTTGGTGTTCGTTGGAGATAATTAAATGTTTTAAAAGACAGTTTTAGGATTATTGGAAATTATGTTTGAAAGGAAACACTCAAACTAATCTCGAGATATGTATTCGTTAGGTGAATATCATGCACAATGATCAAGATTTTTTTTTAATAGAAATAAGAAAAAAATAGCACTCTATAACATAACGAATGTTAATCTTAAATTGTAAATAATAATCTAAAATAAAAGAATTTGAAAATGAGAGGGCATAATCACTTTCAATAAACGAGTTAACGATAGAAATAAAAATTATCAAGAGAAATATATATACCAAAATCAAGCATGACGTATAAACGTTTACAAAAAAAAAAAGACAAATAAAAAAACAATTTGAACATCTCCAATAAGAAGTTCTTAGGTGAGTAATGATATAAGGGTATCCACATCGGTATAGGATATTTTTTTTTTGTCCCATTAATTTTTTTTTTTTCCTACTTTTAGTCTTTTTGAAAAAAAAAAAAAAAAAAGCCGACCAATCGCGGGCCGCTACATGTTATTGGGCCTGCGAAAAGTGGACAACAACAAACGGGACCATCCCGTTTTTGAATACGTATACTTATAATAATAAAATTGTTGATTTAATTTTTTTTTAAAACAGGAAAAGGACGCTTGTGTATACGCTAATGCTAGTGCTCTAAAACTTAAAAAAAAAAATAGAGAGAGAGAGAATGAGCTAGAAGAGATTCCTCAACAAGATAGCATGCATGAGAAACTCATGAAACACTTGTATTTCGTGGGAGACTGGAGAGTCTTAATTTTTTATTTCAAGCTAAACTTTAATTGTATGTATAAATAACTTAAATTAATATATTAATAATATTTTCAATTCAAAAAACATTTGGAATTCTTATGGAAGTGCTCTAACACTATCACAAGCACATTTATTATATCACGTTAACAATTTAAAATTGTAACCAAAAAAATCTAGCTTACATGCATTAATATTTTAAACGATAATAATTCTGAGTAGGAAACTGTGTACACGCATTATATGTTTCATATTATTCAAGCACATTGGAAACCAGACGGAACCTTTTTGTTACAAACGTTGAGAAGAACGCTGAGAGATACAGGAATGTCAACATTGAATCCAAGAACGTTAGCCTTAAGAGCAGTGCAGAGACATATCGCGGCGTCGACGTCGACCAAACCTTGGATGAGCGAGCAGCATGGTTGAGACGATGGCTGACCCAACTGCAAGTTGAGTAAGTTACTTAGGACATTTGCACATACACCTAGTCTGAGAGCATTGATAGGACAGTTTCCGGATGTGCCAGGGGTGCTGGGAGGTGTGACCGGTCCAGGCTTAGGAATTGGGATGAAAGGTTTTGGGACCAGCTTTGTCGGCTTAGGACTTGGGACAGGCTTCTGCTTAGGAATTGGGTTGCAATCACAATCAGTTGCAGCGGTTAACGTGAATAATAGGATGCTGAGGGCGAAGAAAAGAGAAAGAGAGATTGAGTTCTTTGAAGCCATTGTTGTCTTTTGTTTTCCAAAATATTGAGTATTGTTTGAGAGGATGGGAGATGAACAAAAATGAAGAGTGTCTGTGGGTATATATAGGATTTAGGAAGGATATGAAGAGTACGAACTTGTTCAAGTGTAATTGATTCTTTAAATATATATTTGTAATTCTACAAAACATCTGTTTTGCTTTATTTATTTGCGCTTAACTACATATACAAATTCTGACCTTTTTCATTTTCCTCTATGTAGATTCATAGAACCTTGAAACTATTTTTTTGTTAGATCGTTCTTGTAAAGATATTATAAAATATTATATATGTTCATTCATATGATCAGTATTATTGTCAAAATTTTAATGCTATTATGATCACCACCATCATAAGTTCATAACTTCATAGCACATATATTCTGATTTTCTTTGGCTATGTAACCAATTTACTTGAGAGCTTCTATATATGTGTTAGGTCCGTAATAAAAATCTTATGTGTGCAAAGTGTTAGTCTAGTGGTCTTAGTTCATTATATTCCAGAGATAGTTGCGCTCTGCTCTCTTTCCCGAACCTTGCTTGGAAGGGATGTATTTCTCACAAACTGGTCCTAAAAGATTCTAGAACTTCCTTGAACAAATAAAGGTTACATGCATATGATTATGTGAATGTTTTCAAAGTTTTGGATCCTCGTATGCATAAAATATCAGGACATCAAAATCATTCCTAAGTCGGGTTAGTCCGTATATATGGTAGTTTCAATTGTTCCGTAAAAGAGAACGGAAAACAAAAAAAAACAATAAACAAAGTGGATGTCATATGGTTATACTTATAAGTTACAACTAGCTAATCTCAATTTGGCAAAGAGAATTTAAACAAATTGTATGCATAAGGTTATTTTTTTTTTTCATTATCATCATCTATTGTAGTACTTGCATTGACTTAAATAAGCGAAGATGGAGAACATTATTTACATATGAAATTAAATGCGGTTAAAATGGTTTGTATTGTTTATATAGTCCTCTGCCTTTCAGAGTTGGAATTTATAATGGAGGTTGATGATTAAATGATATTATTTAGAATTATTTTGTCTATGGTTTTGCATGTTTTCTAGTTAGAAATACAACTAACTTTAAGAAAACATGTTCACATATAAAAATTAATAAAGGAATCTAGACTATGAGCATAATCCAAACATAAAACTAAGATGTGAACATATATAGTCATAATTTTACAGAAGCGAAAAATCATTTGATTTTAGGAAACGGCTGGTTCTACTGTTTATTAAAGTCAATAATAAATTTTGTCCCAGAAGAAAATATCATCTTTAATCACGACAATGTTCGGAAAAAATAAGTCATTTAAAATAAATATCATTTATAACTTCTCAAAATTAAAGAAACCAAGAGATGGAATTAAGTGCTAGAGTGGGATATGAAGTGTATGATTGATGCTCTAAACTTGGTTTCATTGATTAGAAGATATAAAGAAAATACTTATAAAGATATTTGTAAGATGGATTTTAAGACTACTTGGGCATAGTAAGATAAGAAACTGCAGCTGACAAGATCATTCTCGGACAAACAGCATTTGATTGGTCAAACATGTTTGTGGCTTTCTCCGGATTCAGTTCTTATTAATGTGCATGTTATCAGGTGGTTGTGTTGTATAGTCTTTTGAAATCATGATTTCTCCAGTTTGGTGTTGATGTCCATTCGAAAATTATAACACTAGTTGAATAGCTTAATTAAGTCGGTTGTTCTAAAGCCCATTCTGATGATCACTCTCGGATCACCCAAAGTTGTCAAAAAGAATTTGTATATGAAACTCAATTTTTAAATTGGACTAATTAAAATTAGGTGAAGTAAAAATAACAATGAAATATTTGAATATATAAGACATTGACCATATATGAAACATCTTTCATTTAATTGTATTAAACAAAAAAGGTTACAACAGAAACAAAATTACGTCGAAATGCGTTTACAAAATAGTACTATAGATAACAAAAGATCAAAATATTAAATCCTTAACTTGCGTACATGCATGCAATTATTCAAACTGTAGTGATTTTCAAGAGAACACTATGCGAGCGAGTAGCTGATATATTTCAAGCACATTGGAAACCAGATGGGAGCTTTCTGTTACAAACGTTGAGAAGAACGCTGAGGGATATGGGAACGTTAAGGTTGATGCCAAGAACGTTAGCCCTCAAAGCAGTGCAAAGACAAATCGCAGCGTCGACGTCAACCAAACCTTGGATGAGCGAGCAACATTGTTGAGATGAAGACTGACCCAACTGGATGTTGAGTAGACCGCTTAGGACATTTCCACATACACCGAGTCTGAGAGCATCAATAGGACAGTTTCCAGATGAGCCAGGGGTGCTCGGAGGCGTGACCGGCCTAGGGTTAGGACTTGGGACCGAAGGACTTGGGACTGAAGGACTTGGAACCTTTGGACTTGGAACCTTTGGACTTGGAACCTTAGGACTTGGGACCTTAGGACTTGGAACCTTGGGACTTGGAACTTTAGGACTTGGAACCTTAGGACTTGGGACCTTAGGACTTGGGTTGCATCCACAATCAGTTGCAGCGGTTAAGGTGAAGAAAAGGATGTTGAGGGCAAAGAAAAGAGCAACAGATGCCGAGTTCTTTGAAGCCATTGTTGTTGTCAAAAGATGTTTTTGGTGTTTCAAGGATTATTGAGTGTGTTTGAGAGAGAGTGAGATGAAGAAAAATGAAGAGAGGGTGTGGGTATTTATAAGGTTTTAGAAATATGTGAGGAGGACCAACTTGTTTTAATAAAAATGAATTATTTACAGATATTTAAAATTCTACAAAATATCTTATATTATAGTTTCCACTTTATCTATTGTACATTTACAAAAAATTTGTTATATTTTTCCAATATAGTTTGAACCTGAAAATTATTTGGATTCATTTTTCTAAAACAGTTATAATTATGAAAATATTTGATTTGTGCATATTCATATTCAATAGTGTTTGAAAATCGGACTAGGCGGCCGACTAGGTGCCAAAGAGGCAGTGAGGAAAAGAGTTGCCTCGATTTTTCCATAAGTGGTGAATAAATTTTCAGAGGGAAAACTTTGTTATTTGGTTAGAAATCTGCATATTAATGATAATTTAGTGGTGAGTTGGTTAAATTTTAAATTGCTCATTACTCAATCAATACTCTCAAAACCGTTCATAATTATCATACCAAATCTGAATGAAAGATATATCGGGAACAATTAATTTCTCGTTTTACCGTTCATGAAACACATCTTGTTTTTCTACATTTTAATGGGTAGAAACTTGAAATGATTATCTATATATATATAAGTAATAAGTAGAGATAAAACTACTTAATAGATAGGAAACATTCTTCGTAGGACAATTTAATCCCAAAACTACATAATAGCCGATGTATCGTGCCATCGTGGGACTAATGCGAACAAGTCGAGGGCTTGATAGCGTTGATGAAACCATCTTAGTCTTCAAGAGAATAAGCCACGACCATGAGCAAATGTAATAGAGTTAAGTTTGAGAAATTATGTGATGTGAACTCATAATTCAAAATGTAGACTTTCTTAATGTCAAATAGTAACATTTTGTCCCGAAAGACTATATCATATTTAAGTTTGGTAGGACAGAGACAAACAAAATAGAGCCAATTCATACTATTTGCACCGAAATAAATCATCATCGTTTATCAGCTATTCGAAGACAACCAAAGTAAGTCAATTAAGAAAATTAAAAGAAAAAAAATAGCTATTTCATACGTCAATTGCATTTTGGATACCGATATTACAAGTGGTGATCTTTCCACCACCTGCCGTACGTGAGATCTTCGAATTAGCTATTAGTCCCATTTTAATTTCATAATTATTAGATTTAGTTACTAGGACTCTAGAATCATAAATTTTAATCAATGTTTTTGAGGATATTGAAGACAAATAAGATTTTTTAAGTGGCCAAAACTGATATGAATCTTAATATGGTATCATAACTCGAATACACATTTTTTTTTTTTTTTTTTGAATACACATTATTTCACTAATCAGTACCTCAACTAAAGCTCAAATTTCATCAAAATATAGAAAGAAAAAAAGAAAAAATAATGGATTATGTCGAAACAAATAGTTAAAAAATTGTTATTTAAATGAGATATTGATTAATGTGCTTATTGCTAAAAAATTTTAAATTGTAAACTTATAAGATTTTTTTTTCATCTTTGCAAATAATTTAAAAGAATATAAGTTATGAAACTTGTTTCTCAACTCAAAGACGTGTTTGTAGTCCATATATCACGCTGATGATAAAATCGTCATGTTTAGTAAACGTAAGTTTCTATTGGCTTCTATATTTGGAAGTTTCGAATTTAGCTCATACTGATTAATTATTAGTGGTTCCAAATTAAGTCAACCCAATGACGTCTGGATTAATTCCCAATCACACATTTTGACTATCTGAATTTTGAAAGAACTCGTTGTATCCTTGGTCGTCTTTAAAAATCAAGAATAATAACAACGCAAAAAAAAAAAAAAAAAAAAAAAACAGAAAGAAAGAAAAAAACGCAAATGACAAACATAAAACAAAACTTACGATATATCACTTAAAATCATTTTTATATTACCTACTTTTTTAAGTAGAATTTTTAATTAAAAGCTGAACAAAAAAAACGTTAAGATCTTGAGCACCATACGCGTAATAACACTCTTTGTATTTTGATACACCATGTTCCGTGTGAGTCAAGAAATCATTCTACGTAATGCTATAAATGGTCTTGGTTTCAATTGTCTGAGTAACGTAAAAATGTAATAAATACGTATGAGAAAATATATATTTGGCATAATTGTCAAAGATATTTTAGACAATTAGAGTACCACAAAAAAACCATTGACATTCCCACAAAAGAATTGGTTTACTCTTAAAGTCAATAAAAACATTTGTTCTCAAAAGAAATATAATATTTTCAACGATTCTAGGACCACAAATTTTTTGTATACGACTAAAAAATAGATTACTTCAAACTTCTTTACAAGAAACAAAGAGCAAGAAAAAACGTTAACACCGTGAAGACATAATATGCATATGAAAAATGTTTTTCAAAGACAAAAAAGGAATCTAATTGGGAAGGTATTTAAATTTAATGAATTTTTTATAGTTTTTATCTTTTACACAATAAAAAAAATTTCGTTTTAATTGTTAAAAACTATAATATTATTCAGATAGTGATTATTGTTTATATATTTGTAATATTTTTTTCATAATTATTCAAAGTAATATTTAACTTTTCATTTACAATTGAATATGTGAGCATGGTAATACCATATAACTTATGGTATTCGAATTTCATAATCAGTTATTCCAAATCTTATATTATGTACTTAATAGTGTTAAGTTAACTATCTTTGATCTCTTTTAGTCATTCTTTGACTATAATTGTAAATATAGTTAACTTTGCAAGACTGTATATTTTAAGTCTGTGTCTTAGCTAGAGCTTAATGTAACTAACATTCACATTATTACAAGTCGTATACAATCGATTGCATGTTAAAAATGAACCAAAATTCAAATGCAAGAATCTGAAAATAAAACTTTATTTTATTGAACTGGTTGAAAAAAGAGAAATACACTGAGGGGAACGTTTACAGAAATAAACTAGAAAACTCTCACATGTTTATTATATCACTTAAAACAGATTAAGATTTAAACATTAAAGTCTAGTGTACATGCAATTATTCAAACTGTAATGATATTGAAGAGAACACTGTGTGTGCGAATAGCTGATATCGTTTAAGCACATTGGAAACCAGATGGGAGCTTTCTGTTACAAACATTGAGAAGAACGCTGAGGGATATGGGAACGTTAAGGTTGATGCCAAGAACATTAGCCCTCAAAGCAGTGCAAAGACAAATCGCAGCGTCGACGTCAACCAAACCTTGGATGAGTGAGCAACATTGTTGAGATGAAGACTGACCCAACTGGATGTTGAGTAGACCGCTTAGGACATTTCCACATACACCGAGTCTGAGAGCATCAATAGGACAGTTTCCAGATGAGCCAGGGGTGCTAGGAGGCGTGACTGGCCTAGGGTTAGGACTTGGGACCGAAGGACTTGGAACTGAAGGACTTGGGACCTTAGGACTTGGAACCTTAGGACTTGGAACCTTAGGACTTGGAACCTTAGGACTTGGGACCTTAGGACTTGGGTTGCATCCACAATCAGTTGCAGTGGTTAAGGTGAAGAAAAGGATGTTGAGGGCGAAGAAAAGAGCAAGAGAGGCTGAGTTCTTTGAAGTCATTGTTTTTTTTTTTGAAGTTGTATTTGCTGTTTTCAGGATTATTAAGTGTGTTTGAGAGAGAGAGAGATGAGAAAAAACGAAGAGAGGGTGTAGGTATTTATAGGGTTTTAGAAAGATGTGTAGAGGACCAACTCGGAATATTAAAATGAATTATTTACAGATATTTGTACACTTATCCAGTTTACACACATACAAACTCTGAATTATTATTTTTCCTTTTATGTATATATATAGGTAGAACCTCAAAATTGTATTTGGAACTTCATCTTTGTAAAATAGTTTTATTTACGGAAAAATTTGATTCATGCATTCAAATTTAGCTTTAAAAATGAAAAATTGGAATAGGCGGCCGGTTAGGTGCCTGGGAAAAGAGCTTCAGCAAATTTGTGAGGAACGGTAAAAAAATTGGCCAGAAAAAATATTGTCTGTTTTTTTTTTTCTTTCTTGGTAAAATCTGTAAAATAATAACAGAGTATGTTTGGTTAAATTTTAATCCAACACTAATTGATTTTCAATCTTTTTTTTTTTGAATTTGATGTTAAATTATATTCAAAAGATATAGAAACGTGTTTAAAGTAAGTGCTAAAAATATTTGAACTTGCGAAAATTCAATCTTTTATTACTCCATTGAAAAACAATTCTTCACTATAATTGGGCATATTAGAGTAGAGAATGACAAATATTGTAAAGAACATAATAGAGAGGAAATATTCTTATATAGTTGGACAATTTAGTCTAATTACACATTTAATTAGTCTTGAGGTTTTAACCCAATGAGTTTTCTTCATGAAGTGGCTTATGATAGCGTTGATGAATGAAACCAACTTCCTCTTATCGAATGTGCCACGACCTGGCAGGGCCGAGTAAGCACGTTTGATTGTAACACAATGCACGTTTGAACTTTGAACATATGTGGTGAGTACAATAAGAATATATTTTAACTGCATGTTCTATATTTTTAACAGTGTTCCTTCCAATTAGATTAAAACATTTTCTATAGGAAAAAATGTAACTAATTAAGTTTGAGAAGATATGTGATGGGTATATCCCAACATGGAAATACTATGTGAACATATTGAAAATTAAAATTTAGAGTTTCGTAAAGTCAAATAATAACATTTTTGTCCCGAAAGAAAATATCATCTTTTAGTTTGGTAGGGCAGAAACAAAACAAATAGAGCCAATAATATTTTCACCGAAAGAAAACATCATCGTTTTAGCAATGCGACGACAACCCCAACAAAAAAAAGTCAATTAAGAAAATAACATTTAGAACTTCTTCAAAAAATGAAGAACAAGAAAAATAACACGGTGATGTGGACATATTGATAATTTAATACATATTATATAGAAGAGAATCATACAAAAACATTATAGGATTATTTTAAAAAGTTTCGTGCAATTGTTTTTCAAGTTCGCTAAATTTTATAATTTTATTATTCACTTCCAAAAAATATAAATAAATTATAAAAAATCCAAAATAATATTATTTGTACATAATTATCTTTTTGATAACAATTCGAAATATTTTATATTAATTTTTTAAATAATTTCTGTTTTTTTTTTGGTGCAGAATTGTGAATTTGAATCTATGTTTTTGAGAAGATTTAAAGCAAAAATAATCTTACTGTAAAACAAATTAGCAAAAAGATGCTCTGTTTTTATGAACTTAGCAAAAATTAGCGAAATATCAATTTCATCAATCTAGTTAATTAGAGAACATTCTTTAATTTGAGGAGATGTTAAGACTTATTACTATAAAAAACTGTTATTACAAGGTATATATACACTCATTGCTAATAGATTTAAAACTGTAAACTCATTATTTTTTTCAGTGAAGGTTTTTTTCCCATCTTTTCATACAATGTATAACTACGTTCTATGAAACTTACTTTTTTCTATTACCAAAATTAATAAGTCTGTAAAAAAATAATTTGATTTTAATATATATGTATTTCCCAATGAGTTAGACTGTTAGACTTTTACGCTTTTGCCCAAAAAAAAAAAAAAAAGACTTTTACGCTAAATAATTATCACACAATTCTCTAATCATTGTTTCATAATATTTTACCCGTGATGATGGTTGAATCTTGACCATCACCAATGAGAATTAAATTGTCTCTAGCTAGTAACTTGGTAATGTTGAAATTTTATTGTAAATGCTTTTCTATCCTAAAATAACGAATCTCTTTTGGCGTAACTCAGATACAGCTGTAATTGCTTCTTTCACGGTACTGTAAATATCTCTCCCATATTGTTTGCCACCACAACACCAACAATCTCCTTTAAAGCCTACAATTATATGTTAAACGAAACATAAAAAATTAATAAGTAGTTGACAAAAAAATATTATTTTTCATAGATATTATTGACATCGAAAAGATCGTAAAGTTTTTTTCTTCCACTGTTCAGATTTTTCTTTGATCACAAAATTATAGCACACAATTTGCAAACTTATTGCAAAAAAATTGCAAAATTATTGTAAACAATTTGCAAAATTATTTCAAACAATTTGAAAAATTATTTTAAAATATAAATGGAATGATATCTAATTTGAATAATCTAATAATGACCACAAAATAGTTAAAACTGACAATAAAAATAGATTATTTCAAACTTTTTCACGTGAAACAAATAGCACAGCGATGATAATATGTATTTTAAAAGTACGATAGAATTTGATTGGGCAGCTATTTAATACATTTTTGGTACTCTTTAGCTTTTACACTATAAGACACCAATTTCGTTTTGATTCTAGCTATTATAGTTATATTTCCAACAAGGTTCTGTACAAAAGTCTTCGAAATATCTTTGTATTTCAATCTTTTATTTTCTTAGTACATACACAAGAATTTCTATAAATTAATATTTGATAATCTTATACTATAAAAATAGTAATAAAAATTTCGTTATCAAGTTAGACTTAGATGAATTTTCAATAAGATCATATTTTTATATAAAAAACATTTCCGTAGACATGGGATACTTATTGATATAATAAGTAAAATTTATATAAATTAACATACTATTGTATGATTTAGCTGTTTTAAGAAAGAGATTGATCTGTCAAATTATTTTTGTGTTTCCAAAATTGTAATACTCTCAATAACAACGTCGTCAAAGTAACCAAAATTTATTTAAAGTTTCAACTTCTTAATATTATACATTCTTATTTATATAGTTTATAAATTGTTAAAATGTGACAGTTGAGCTTATAAACCTTAGATTAAACTTAATTTTGTATAGAATTTACATAAGTGAACTTGTCAATAATCTTTGTTATTTATCATCTACAGGTATTTTCTTTCTTCTAAATATTAGATATCTAACTCGTACCTAGAAAATTTGTAGCATCCAAACATTAATGTTATTTCAAAGTATATTTTGACAATTCTACCGTACAATCTTAAATGATAAAGCAATTAGAAAAATGTATTTAAACTTATAAATAAATTAGTATCATTATAAATATATAAAATATCAAATTCTGAAATCATAGAGATTTTACAACTTAACACATATCATTTTCAAATAAATAAAAGATGATAAAATGATAAAATTTACGTGTAGTAATTAGTATCATATTTTAAATATTCGCTAAACCATACTTAAATCTAGTGTCTAATAGTGTGTATGTATATATTTTATTAAAATGAAGTTGCTTAATTATTATAAACCTTCTGATGCTTATTTTGGTCATCTAGTCATTTGGTTAATTACCACATTCTTTTTTTTGCTAAATGGTAAATATTTCATTGAAAATGAAAATAGTTTAGGTTACAATCAAAAGATTAGAAACCTATACACATGGTTCCATGGCAAAAAAGATAAAAACATGGAAGCATAAGACGGTAATTAAACCAAGATTTCGGTCCATTTGCTCAACCAAGCAATGAAGCTATGGTAACAAGATGAAGCGATGACGTTTTTTGTTGTCCTCCCCAGATGAGTTGCAGAAGAAGTAGGGCAATTGCAAATTGTAAACACCTTGATACGACAAAAATTTGTTGTAGAAGCCTTTCGCAGGAGGTCCGAGATCGAGCCGTCAACGGTGAGAACTCCAAATCATCGATCACATACTCTCTCTGCGTCATGTGAGATTAATTCTTTGTTTCGATCCATGAGCTTTCTCAGAAACGGAACCTCACAAGCCAAGTTAAGCAAGTGGTGCAAGCTCCCTCTACCAAGTTCATTCCCCAAAGTCAGCAGAGCAAAATAACACATTTTACAACCACACGAAAAGCCATTAGCCCTACTAGCTCCTCTACAGCACAAGAAGACGCAAGCAAGAGGCGAGAACGCAAAGCAACACAATCTTCAAACAAAAGCAGAACAACAGGGAGCCACAACAAAGAACATGCCTTGAACTAAACCAAAGGATTGAAATACAAACAGAGTTCTCAAAAGGAGAGGGGAGCTAGCTACCACCGGAAACTAAACCCTCAACTTATCAAACACCGTTGCGGCTATAGAATGGAGCCATTACGCATCTGATTCGACGAAGGAGCTTGACCAGCCACAAGAAAACACGCTCGAACTCCACTAAATAAGTTAATTACCACATTCACTTAGTGAAAGAGTTCGAACTCCACTAAATGAGTCTTGGTGACATTAAGGATTAATTAAGATAAGAATATTATTATTAATTATATATATGTAATATTTTTAACTCATAACATTTCCAGGTATTTCCAGTTTCTTTCATACTAGTATTTTCTCTCATAACGTACTGATTAACTTTTTCATTCACAAGTCTGCTGAATATATAATCATGAAAATGTCACACAATATATATCGTATTCGATTTTCATAATAAGTTATTCAAAACCTTTATTTTATTTTCTTATAAAAATTTATATCAATGATGTTAACTATCTTTGATTTCTTTTACTCATTATTTGTAAAAATAATTTTGCAAGACTCAAATTTTCTGGAGTGACCACATACGTAAATATATTTCCGTATCATAGAGCTTAATATACCTAACATTCACATTATAAAAATTCATGAGTAACCCTCCAATTTGTATGCATGTTAAAAAACTTCTTTCATTGCAACTGGTTCGAAAAAGAGAAATACACTTACGTACGGGAAAGTCTACAAAAATAAACTAGAAAACTCTCACATTTTTATTTGTATATCACTTAAAAGTTAAAACATAGTAAGATTTAAACATTAAAGTCTAGCTTACATGCGTTTATTCAAACTGTTATGTTTTTCTGTGAGCACGAGCTAGTAGTATATGCATATATAGCTTATATCGTTTAAGCACATTGGAAACCAGATGGAAGCTTTTTGTTACATACGTTGAGAAGAATGCTGAGAGATATAGGAAGGTTAAGGTTGATGCCAAGAACGTTAGCTCTAAGAGCAGTGCAGAGACAAATCGCAGCGTCAACGTCAACCAAACCTTGGATGAGCGAACAGCATTGTTGAGACGATGGCTGCCCCAATTGCAAGTTAAGTAAACCACTTAGGAGATTTGCACATACACCGAGTCTGAGAGCATCGATAGGACAGCTTCCAGATGAGCCAGGGGTGCTAGGAGGCGTGAGCGGCCTAGGGTTAGGACTTGGGACTGGTACCTTAGGACTTGGGACTTTGGGACTTGGGTTGTATCCACAATCAGTTGCAGCGGTTAAGTTGAAGAAAAAGATGTTGAAGGCAAAGAAAAGACCAAGAGAGGCTGAGTTCTTTGAAGCCATTGTTATTTTCTTTAAAGATTCAGTGTTTTAAAAACTATTGATTGTGTTTAATAAGAAAGAGAGGTGGTGAGAAATGAAGAGAAGCCTTGTGTGGTATTTATAGGGTTCTAAAAGAACTAGAAGAGGAACCAACTTATTTGACTATAAATAATTATTTGTAATTCTACAAATTAAAATATCATATTTTTTATTGCCTTTTTCTACATATTTACAATCAGACTTGTTTTAGAACTTGAAAATAATTTGGATCTTTCGTTTGTGTATATAGTTTAGGAAATATTTGATTCGTGTCCTATGAATTTGTCAATGCTGTTATTAACACCGCCATCATGAGTTCATGCATGACATCGAAGCCATTTTACTTAAGAGCTTCTATAGCTTTAGGCTGTAGATAAGGTTTGGTATATGTCAGGGGCGGACCCAGAAAAAAAATTTAATGGGTGCAAAAAGTAGCAGATGAAACTTGAACCCATGACCTCAAACATTACATGGGGGCACTTTAACCATTTTGACACTTATAACTTTAATTTTAATGTAAAATTTTTAGTTTTTAATAGGTTGGTGGGTGCAACTGCCCCCACCATCTTCTATGTGGGTCCGCCCCTGGTATATGTAGACTTGCCTCACTTATACGGAAAACATGATTTGGGTTAAGTTCATATGTTCTAGTTTAGAACAGTTAAGTGCCGCTGGTTTAAATTGACTTAAAATTTTTAGTCATGAAAAAATAGTAACACCAGTTAAATAAAAAGTTTATAGCTATTTTCATAAAATCAATATATTAAAGAAATAAACTGACCCACTAAGCAAACTTTTTGTTTACATATTAATAAATCCTTAAATTATTATTTTCTTTGTTTCATAAGAATGTCTTTTTTGAGGACTTTTTTTTTCCATACCCCATATTGCACATTTGTTCAAATTCTCCATGTTCTAGAATTTTTCTAAATTTTCGAATATTTTATTTTAAGAAATAAAGGATATTCTGTGGTTCTAAATAAATTTAATCTCCTAGTTTGGGAAAAGAAAAACTAGTTTGGGAAGTCAACTAAGGGAAGCTGATAATTATCGCTAAAGAGATCATATGGTTTATTTAATTTTGGTCCCAAACACTTTAGGATTGATAATCCGATATTAAATTATAAATACAGAAATAAATTCGAAAATTATATATTACAAAATTTAAAATCAAAAATAAGGTTTGGTAGAACTGTTGTAAGACCATATACAAACCTTCATTGGACGTGTCCCTAAAAACATGAATTTTCCAGACCTAAACACAAACTCAAAAATGATCATTTGGATTATCAATGTGTTTTGTCTTTGATAATTACGAATTGCCCATAAAACATTCTTGGTAGGACTCGTGCAGTCGTCTCTCCTTTTGTTTAAAATTGTTCAATTTTTAATTACAATTCACTGAATTAAATAAAAGAAAGAAAACAAAACCTTGAATCTGAGATGTGACAAAGATAATTATGCTATCCCGTGAACCCAAGACTCATTCTATGGACCAAATAAACAAGTTAGTGTATGATCGATGTTTTATATTTTATAACGTAAAATCCCTATATTAGTAAAAGAGAAATACAAAAACTTTCGGGTCGGGTCAATTTCAAAAAATTACCCAAAATTTGTAATTGGATCTTTTAAAGTTGGATAGATGAATGGGTTTGGATACATACACCGAATACTTTCCATATCTAATTTTAGGATTGTATTATTTCCATAACTAATTATAGGATTTACTAATATTTCTCTAACTAATTTAATACAATCTATTTAAAAAATATTATTCTTCTTTCACTTTTATTTGATGTTATTTTTAATTTTTGATATTATATTATATAATATAAATATTTAATAAAAATTTAACTTTTTTTTGCATATGTTGCAATTTGAATTTTTCAAAACGGACATATAATACTCAACTACACTCGGTTAAATATTTTGGACAATGGTTTAAAATCATTATAAGTATGACCAATATTAAAACCATTGTTACATGAGCATATTTAAAATTTCAAATAGTTTCAAAATATTATAAATAAAAGGTTCAAATATATAAAACTTTTAGAATTTAAAATATTGAAATATTTTTTGAAGACATAAATGTAATTTGGAGACATAATTTTTATTGATAAAATATATTATATATTAAACTATGTAAATTTTAGATAATTCACGGGTAGTTTGCTAAAATCACAATTACAATGATAAAGCGAGTTACGAATAATGTTTTTTACGAACTGAATTCTGTTACGGGTTGGACTTTCAAAAACTATATTGTAAATATGTAATTTTTACTTATATTCGTATTTTTACTATAAAAATGGTCAAAATGAATAATTTATCGACAAATATTTTTTTGTGCTGTTAAATTTTCACCGTGTTTTTAATAGTATCAAAACTCAGTATATGATTATTTACTCTATTTTTCTTTTTTATTTTATTTAAACTTATTATACAAATATATGATTTACCGTAATCTACTGCATTCTAACAAAATTAAAATGTAACATATTTTAATCCGTTAAAAGTTATATATATGTAATTATTTCCCCCGCGCTGTAGCGCGGGTCCGAACCTAGTTAGATAGATACATCCAAATCAAGTCAGTATATTTAAAATGTTGTTTTACCGTTACCTCAACTATAATCTCTAGCTAGAATCGGCTGTGTGATCCAAAGGCCGTCTTGAATAGTCTACTTTTTTTTATATCGATCTCAACTTATATGTTCGTGCTATCATATTATTATGAATTTTTTTTCAGGGTTACACACTCATTTTTTAATGTCAATATGGTCACACTTAGCTTTCTCTCATTGATGCTTTAAGAAAAATACCGATTTCAGAAGTGAAGTAATTCATAGTTTGAACAATAGATTAGGTCAACATAGAGTTCTTGCTCTTTTGATCGTTAGAACATATAAGTGGTATGAATACGATTCTTTGAGAATAAAAGCATAAATAAGAGGCAACTTGATTTAAAATGGATACAGTAGAAGAAGTATAAGAAAAACTTATTCGAAATAAAAATGAAAACATGAGAATTTAAAGAATCTTAAACATAAATTAAAGATTATAATTTAGCGATCAAATGGTTGATAGATAGATCAAGCACATACGAATCCAGAAGGGACCTTCTTGCCACACACGTTGAGAAGAAGGCTGAGAGAGATAGGAACATTAAGGTTAATCCCTAAAACATTAGCCTTTATAGCGGTGCAGAGACAAGCTGCGGCCTCAAGATCAACCAAACCCTTAATGAGGGAACAACATGGCTTCACTGGTGGCGTTCCCAGCTCAATTTTGAGAAGATCCTTGAGGACATTGGCGCAAACACCGAGTTTGAGAGTGTCTTTTGGGCAGCTTCCGGTGGAGGAGTGGCTTGGAGTAGGCTTTGGCTTAGGCTTTGGTTTAGGGACTGGACTGCAGCCACCACCACACGCGGTGGTCAAGGTGAAGAAGAGGATGTTGAATGTGAGGAAAAGGACAAGGGGGGCTGAGATTTTTGAAGCCATCTCTCGAAATAGAATATATATTTCTATTTTAAGTAAGAATGTTTAAGAAAGAAATGTTGCTAAAAGAGAGTGGTGAAGATAAATGAAGAGATAGTGTATGTATATATAGTAGGTTTTTAAGTTGTTTGACAGTTTATTAAAGCTGTCATTTGCAATTATATTTTGAGGAATTATTAAACGAATTTAACTTTCAGTAACAATAGTCAGAGGATCTTTGTATTATTGAGTGGTTAAGATACATTTCATTTTAACTACAATATTGTAAAAATACTGTACAATCATGGAGTTATGAAAATATAATTAAAAGCACCCTATTTTGCTGTCATAGTTCCTTTTTATTAATTGTTTAGTGTATAAATTAAAACGTAATCATATAATCTTTGTTAGCTAATGTAAAAGCACCATATGTTTACATGTTTATTTTTTGGCTATTGTAAAAGATTTAAATATTTTAAAATAACGCATTTACTCCCAAACATATACTATAATTTGGGTCATTATATTCAGTTTCACAAAAATTTGAAAATAACGCCTTTACTCCCAAACATATACTATAATTCAATATTTCTTTTCAAATTAATCATGTAATTATTTTTAAAATTAATTATTGAGACCGATGTGGTTTTTAGTTTAGCGTTAAATATAGAAGATTGATTGTGCACATTAAAAACAAATAGTTATACACTTCAAAGTTTTCAGTATATTCAAGAGTGTGTATATATAGTTTAGTATCAAATGAATTTGTAATATTTTTAATCACAATTAAACTATATAACAAAACTAGAATCAATGCACATGTACGGGTTCAATAATTTACTCATCAGTCCCATGTGTAGTGTTGCCCACGCATATAAGTTTTGGCTGGCGATGGTGTTATTAGCATTATGGAATTTTATGTCCACTAAAGTCTGGCTTGACGAACTCAATTTACATAAATATGCACTTCCTTTTCGGCAAGGTGAAAACTAAGTTTACTTTAGAAATGAAAATAAAATAAAATAAAATTGGTCTATATATATATATATATGATTGTTTGAGAGAAGTCTTTGAATCAGATAATGCAAAACTTTTACTTGCTTTAATTTATTCTATGTGATCAGTATGCTCCAAATTTGTTTTCCAATTTCTCTATTTCTCTATTACTCGATAATTTAAATTTTAAGGGTGATTATTTACCTCAAACCTCTAGATCTACATTTTCTGAGTTTCTAATGTAAAATTGCACCCTTTACATTAAAACAATAGTCAAAGATTTAAAAATAAATCAATTAAAGTGTAAATGGTAAAATGTCATAAAACAATTAAATATAACCCTCTTACAAAAGTTCATCTCTTCGTATTCAAGTAAATATTTTTTTCCCTTTCCATCTTTCGTTCTACTTTATCTCTCCATTTAATCTAAAACTAATTTCGAAATGTCACTTATAAAATAATTTAAATTTCTTTAAGGAAAAACACAATGCATACATGTAACTCGGTAATAAATTGATTGATTATATCTTGTTTACCATTGTTGATGACTTCATATATTGTTTACTATTCTGTCTTACCGTTTTAATTTTGTTTTTGGTGATTTCATATTAGTTACATATGCATATCAATCTACTTATTTTTATTTGATTTTGAGTTGAAAATTCATGATTCAGTATTAGAGTCTAATAAGCTAAATAGATAAAATCCTAAAAAGACGAATGAGCCAAAGACCATCATCCCGAAAGGATGTGTTTGAAATCACACGTAGATATGAGTAATTGACCAACAATGGCATTTTTTTGTCTATCAAATCATTATCATCTATTTCTACAATTTCTTTCCTGGATTTTAAGATATATCATATTTTTTATTTTTATTTCGTAAACAAATTCATATATTTTCTTACTATCATTTTATTATTGTTAATTCTCATAAAATATAAATTCCAGGGACCATAATTACAGTAATTTAATTAATCTTTATATGGAGAGATTAGGTCAGTATATATAGAATCTTGCTCTTTGGATCATATGACTCTTTGAGAATAAAAGCGGAAACAAGAGTCTGATTCTAACTTTAAACCATTGATTCAAAATGAACACAGTAAAAGAAGTAGAAGCAACACTTATTCGATTAACAACTGAAAAAGTAGAATTTAAAGAATCTTAATCAAAGAAAAACATCGAAAAAATAGATGAAACATTATAACAAAATCGGAGAGTAGATAGATCAAGCACATTTAAATCCAGAAGGGACCTTCTTGCCACACACATTGAGAAGAAGGCTGAGAGAGACAGGAACATTAAGGTTAATGCCTAAAACATTAGCCTTTATGGCAGTGCAGAGGCAAGCTGCGGCCTCAAGATCAACCAAACCCTTAATGAGGGAACAACATGGCTTTACTGGTGGCGTTCCCAACTCGATTTTGAGAAGATCCTTGAGGACATTGGCGCAAACACCGAGTTTGAGAGTGTCTTTTGGGCAGCTTCCGGTAGAGGAATGGCTAGGAGTAGGCTTTGGCTTAGGCTTAGGTTTAGGGACTGGACTGCAGCCACCACCACACGCGGTGGTCAAGGTGAAGAAGAGGATGTTGAATGTGAGGAAAATGACTAGGGAGGCTGAGATTTTTGAAGCCATCTCTCGAAATATATATTTCTATTTTAGGTAAGAAGTGTTGGTGAAAGAGAGTGGTGAAGATAAATGAAGAGATCTATGATGTATTTATAGTAGGGTTTTAAGGGGTTGTTATGTTTATTAAAGCTGGCATAATTATATAATTATGAGGAATTATTAAACGAATTTATATATAAGTAACACTAGTCAATGGATCTTTGTTTTATTAAGTTGTAAAGATATATTCCATATCAATCATGGGGGTGTACGTGGGTGGTTGTTGTATACATTGGCATCAAATGAACTGGGGTGAAAAGATTTTTATGGATTTTCGTACAATTTTGTAATCAAAATTGATGAACATGATTACCAAAACAAGATTTAAAATAGAATCGATGCACATGTGTTCACGTAAGTCCCATGTGTATTCATATATGTGATTTAGCTGGCGATTTGTGTTTGAAGAAGATTAGTAATTTGGAAATTTCTGACCATAAAGTCTGGCTTTCACGATTTTATTGGCTCTATCCTTCTCGTTTGGATTATAAATCTTGCATGCATAATTAATAGCTATGGAATTTAAAACCAGTTTGCAGTTAATTTATTCGGTAATAACCAGTATAAATGACACATTAGTTTGAAGGCTGAGAGTGAAAAAACCAGCGGTAAATAACTTTGACTCTATAATTAAAGACAAAAACAGAATCAGTATTTTAGGTGAATTAATTGATGTTTGAAGATGTTCTTAATCATTTTCTACGTAAGTTCTAGTTAGGCATGTCAATTAGGGCTAAAGCCCGCAGGCTAGTTTGGCCCGGCCTTGAAAAACATCGGGATCGGGCTTAAATATATATGTCCAGAAAAAACCGGGCTTTTTGGGCTAAGCCCATTCGGGCTAAAGGGTTTTTTGGGCTTAGCCCGGTCGGGCTCGGGCTGGCCCGAAAAGCCCTTATACAAATATATTTTGAATTTTTTGAATATTTTATTTTGATTAAAAGATTTGATTAATGTTATAGTTTTCATATTTACTTACTAGTCTTACTTATTACTTTTAAAATCTTTATACAAAGCTAAAACTAAATATATATAAGTATCATGATTTTGAAATCATCAAAATATCTATTAAATTTTGACTCTATCTTATACTTTAAAGTATTTTAGTTCCATGTTTTATTGGGTTAAAGTGTAAATAATTTATTTGGCTTTTATTTTTTCTCTTAAATTAAGTTAGTTTTATTGAATATTGATAAGTTATTTAAAATTTGATGCATTATTTTTTATAGTAGACCTTTAAATATAGTTTTTAAAAAACTATTATGAACTTAGAAATTGATTTTTTATCGGTAAATAAAGCCCAAAAAAGCCCGAAAAGCCCTGTAGCCCTGTTAGGGCCGGGCCGCCTTTGAAATATAGGCTCGGAAATTTTTCGGGCCGGGCCGGGCCGGGCTCACATATATGAGGGCTTTACGGGTTTTGGGCCGGGCCGGGCCGGGTTAGCCCGATTGACATGCCTAGTTCTAGTTCCCTTGTAGTTAAAATACATTGGTATAGCGGAATTATGATTCTTAAAACATATATCAAATAATTTATTTATTTTATTATATTTAATGAAATTTACTTGGACTAAAATAATATGGTTATTTCTGAGTATTTTGAAGTCTATTTTTAAAAATTTGTATATTTCGAAAATGAAATATAAATTTGTTCTCGAAAAAAAAGTTTTACCTAGTTTTTTTTTTCAATGAAAAAAAAAGATGACGTATTTTTGAAAATTTCCCTTTAAAATTACCGATACTTTTATAGAGCGTTAATTTTGAAGTTTTATAAATTTAATTTAATTTAATTTATTTTTGAGCACGATACTGTGTTATTATGTTTTTTTTATATATTAAAATTGCTATTAGAAACATTTAGGCAATGAGTTCAATTCAGTTAATCTTTAAATAACAGTATTTAAAATTTTATAACATTTTCCCTATAAAACCAACATATAATAGTGTTTTGAAAATTATTATGTTTGTATTAATCACATCATCATAGAAGGCTTAACCTTATTCGTAAATTGCACAGGCATGAATATTGGATGTTAGCCAAAAACCAATACGAAAACATACATTTATAGATAAATATGTATATATTGCAGCTATGTTGGGCAACGGAATCCATCGGGAAGGGTTCGTCCACAGGCATCAAGGGCCAAGTTAAGGTGAATAGGAGTGTCAATGGTGATGCCAAGAATGCTGAGCTTAAGCGCGGAGCAAAAGCAAAGCGCAACATCAAGATCAATTAGACCAAAGAGAATAGAGCAACAAGGTCTCATAACCGGTGCACCGAGATTCAAGTTGATGAGGTTGAGAACATTTGCGCATGACGAAAGCTTGAGAGAGTCTCTTGGGCAAGTAGTGTCTGCGAAAACCGGGGTAACAAGGTTGAGGAAGAGAATATTGCTCACAAGGAATAAAGCAAGTGTAGTTGAGGTCTTTGGAGCCATAGTCATCCCAATCTTGTGTTTTCGATATTTCTATATGTTATATGAGTATGTTTGTTAGTTTGAGTTATGTTAGCATATATAGGATATGAAGGTATTTATAGTGTTTGAAATGTTCGTTTGTTTGATTATAGATATAGTGATTGAAGTAGAAATGTATCATGCAATGTGTAAATGTAACACTCGGTCGAGAATTCCCTAGAGACATATGATAAACCAAATCTTGTTAGGTTTTCTTGTTCGGTTGTATGTTTTTGTTTACTCTGATCACATACAGTAAGGTTCATGCATCGATGTTAACCCAACATTTGGTATTCTCTTACGTTAATATGGAATAGACAATGAATTTTTATTTTGTTATGGTCAGTTCCGATATTGGTACTTAATAAAGGACTTGTCTTGGTTCAGAGCCACAAACTCACATATGCTCATTTATTTTGCTTAAATTCGGATTATAACACTATGGTGGTAATAGTACAATCTACTAAGTTACAAGTTCTGGTTGTGAGTCCTTTAGTTAGGTGTTAATTCGATTAGTTAGGTGTTAACACGATGTGGTGTAAGATAGATTGAACAGTACAATTGGTAAAATTACAAACAAAGAAGTTATACACCATATACTTAGTTGAGTGCTTTCATCATAAGTTTAAGTCCTCAGTTTCGTCATTACCACTCACTTCCTCTAACATTTCCATGAACCCTTTCTTCTTATTCCCTCTCACTGTTGTTGTCATCGAGCTGAAATGACTATCTTGAATTGAGGCTTCTTCAAATCTTGTCCATAACTCTTTCTTCAGAGTACTTTCACCAGCTCTTGTTCTGTTTTTCGTCATTACGCTCTCTGGTTCTTTAAACACTGGAGTACTCTCAACTACCATTGACATGCTTCCCTCTAAGAAAACAATTGAGAAAGTAAAAAGATTGTCGGTATGGAGATATCATTAAGACTCAATGAAATGACCAAGACATCAACTTTTATATTACCCGTAGTGTGTTTTGCTTCTGGATTGATGTTTTGAAAATCAACTGAGGATACCATTCCGGATATACCAGTTTCATCAATTGGTTTCTTCTCATTCACAGGCTTCACAAAAACACATGTTTTAGGAGGAGAAAACCACCAAACTGGCGAGGATTCAAGATCTGTTTTTCTTGTTATTGGAGCATGTTGTATTCCCAAAAGCTCTGGATACTTAGAACAGAGATCGTCTGCTTTATCAATACCAGAGGATCCAGAGCTTTGTGAACCATTAAAAGTGCTAGCTCCCAGTGCAGAGCAGGTGGACTTACAAGCCCCTTGCTTTTCTGGTTGAAACGATTCAGGTACCGGTTTGAACAGTGTACAAGTTTTGGGAGGCGACATCTTCAAACAAGGAGTCATTAGAAGCTCGGACTGAATTTTTCTCCTGAGTACTGGTGAAGAGTTACCAAGTCCTGCATTTTTCATCAACTCACCTCCTAAAGCATCATCAGTTGTTTCTTTCGAAGCTTGAAGCGATTGATTTACAGCAGCAGTTGGGAAAATCCTTTTAGCCGTCAGCTTTGACGCATTCTGATGCTTAAGGAATTCAGATTTTCCTAACGGTAGTGGTGTCAAAAGAAAGAGTTGTCTACCCTTTTCAGGGTTCTGATCCCCACGCCAATGCACGAGGGGAGAAGGAGAGACTAAAGGCTCAAATTGAGTAGGCTCAGGACTCTCAACATCAAACAGATCTTCGTCTTTGCTTGATCGCACACTACCACTGCTCATTAAAAGCTCTACTTCCTGATCCTTTTGAAGTAATTGAGAATCAGATATCACTTCTTGCAATCTAGGAAACCAGGGCTGCATAATTAAAATAGATTACAGTTCTTAAGCAAATGGTTAACACAAGAAGCCAAAAAAATACACAGTAGGTAAAAAGAAATGATACCTTAAGTGTGGACAGCATATCAGACAAGACAGATCTAAAGGATTCAACTTCTCTCGTCCCTTGTTTGCTCACGGTCTTACGCTTCATGGTTTGCACAACAAGCTCATCAATCTGATATTCCACAAATCATTAGCCATAACTCATGATACAGAGCATATATCACCAAAAAGGATTTGACAAAACATGGAAACATGGCTCCACAACCATCAATAAACAAATTGTTCACCTTTTTCAACCATACAAAGGAACAGAGGACTCAACTCAAGTACCTGATGGAGAACAGATGTAATATCAGAATGTACAAGGAAGAGCTGATCCAACTCATAATCATAATCACCACCTCCATGATCTTCTTCTGTATGATTCATTTCATTAACTGCAAAAAAAAAAAAAAAAAAAAAAAAAACACTCAGATAATAAAAATTTCGAAATTTCTCAGAAATTTATAAGAAACGTATACTGTATATACCTGTTTCTCTAGCAACCACACCATCTCTTCTGGTCACATAAGGTTCCATTTCCTTAGCCTATGAGGTCGATTTCACAATGAAAAACCTAGATCTGGAGAATCCCAAACAAAACAAGTATTAATGATTTTGGTATCTAAACTTAGCATCACAGTCTTCTTCGAATGAGAAACAAAATTTACCAGATTGCGAAGAACAGTGACAAAGAGAGTTTCAAAATCAGATAAAACGATTCCGAATAAACCCTTTCCGCAATTGAAATCGAAATTGAAATTGACAGAGAAGCTTAATCGAAGTAAGGCGAAGAGAGAGAGGGACGATTCAAGATGTAGAGCTAACCTGTAGTATGGTTTCCGGTCGGCGGCGATAGAGCGTCGGTGTACCGGAGTTAGGGTTTTTAGAAGAAGGCGAAAGGCGGGATTTTGTAATTTTTCGAATTTGGGGTTTTGAAGATTGAAGAAGATGACAAACTCAGAGAGAGCGTTGTATATTTTACAGAGAGATATTATAAGAAATCTATATTTTTTTTTTTTTTTCCTGTTCTTTCTCTTTCATTTAAACAGGGCCCGTATACAGTGTGGGCTATTTAGTTGATAATAAAGCCCAATAACTTTGTTAAGCTCCATGTGGCAAGATCATTGTTTACAAAAGGGTTATATAAGAAAGTTGGGATAGGGTTAAGATGTTATGTTAAGTTAGGTCGATTTCACTGTGAAATATTGGATTTTGCAATAAAACCTAGATCTATAGGATCCTTAACAAAACAAGTATTAACAATTATCTAGACATCACTCTTGTTCAAATAAGAGACAAAATTTAAACAAATTGCGAAGAACATTGACAATGAGAGTTTCAAAATATGTTAAAACCATTTGGAACCCTTTCAGAAAATTGAAACTGAAATTATAGAGATGTTTTATCGACGTTAACGATTGAGCGTCGATATACCTTGATGCATTAATTGGAAATTGACCATGTGTACTTGCTTTCCTCCACCCTGTTGAATGCCTATAACAACTTATCCGCACCAACAATGATCTTCATCGAACCAATTTGGGAATTCATCGACAACATGACCAGCTGGAGAACTTTAATCAAGCTAGAATATGTCATCTTTGAGGTAGAATTAGAGATATGTCATATATTATACCAGTGTACTGTATCGGTAAATCAACATCTCTGAATTGATCTAATTCAGACCAACGAGCCACCTGAATAATTTGTAGACTCCCTGCTGTTTTTATCCACCCCATCAAGACTACACGACGTTTACTCTAACTCTTGACGCCAACACCAAAGTTTCTCAGCCCATAGTTCTTCCTCCGCGATTCATTTCCTCTTCCCGGCAAAGCTATTGGTTCAAAATCACGAGGACAACAGAGAGGAGAAGCATCTGTGAGACGGCGTCGGTATGAGCTCCACTGGCGGTGTAGCTTCATAGAGGGGAAGAAGGAGATTGACGGCGAAGAACGAGAAAGGATAGTAGTTAGATCTAGGGACCTGAGATTGAGATTCTGGAGATTTCACGAGATCGGCTTCGATGGGGGAGGTAGTTGCCGATCTGGTGAATCTAAGCTACCATCGAAGGTCTCTTCTTCTACTCCCTACTGCTTTCCTCTCTCTCGACAAAGGAAAGCTCGGTTCTCTTCCTCCTTCTTAAAACAGCTTTACAATGGCAGGATGACAACGGATCTTGGATCACCATCTCCGTTCGACTAGCGTCGTCTAGGCTCACCGGAGGTCCTGTTCCGGTGGGTATTCGCAGATCTGATGGACATGGGCTGCAATATGTTTTGCGTTTACAGATTAGGATTTCAGCGACCGGTTTAGTTTGGTTTGTAAACCTGGTCGGTATTGTGTCTTAAGGAATTTATATGAGCCTAATCCGGAAATTACCCTCTCCGCCTTATTTTATAAATTGAAAGTCTTTTACAAAAGAAAAACATCGAAGATTCTCCATTAAAACCTAACGGCTATAATCATCTCACTCTTTGTTCACATAACTTAGTTTCCTTTTCTAAGTATTAGACCGTTGCTGCACTTTTCTGTTTAAGCAATTTGTTTATCTACGTTTTACGGAGGCGCTTTCAGTCAATAAGAAAATTCCTTCTTCTTTTTTTCAATAAGAAAATTCAGTTATTTTTGCTTCGGCACTTTGTGTCTTGGATCAATAATTTTCTTGGGAGTTCTTTACTGTGTTGTGGATTCAACATCAAACCGGTTACTACTGTTTAAGCAATTTGTTTATCTACGTTTTACGGAGGCGCTTTCAGTCAATAAGAAAATTCCTTCTTCTTTTTTTCAATAAGAAAATTCAGTTATTTTTGCTTCGGCACTTTGTGTCTTGGATCAATAATTTTCTTGGGAGTTCTTTACTGTGTTGTGGATTCAACATCAAACCGGTTACTACTCTTCATCTAGCTATTTCCACCTAAGCTTCTAAGTTTTCGAGTCCGTGAACTTGTCTTGGTGGAAACTGAGACGTGTATTATCTACCGGAGTAAGGGTTTCTAGAAGAAGGCAAAAGCGTGATTTTGTATTTTTTGAATTTGGGGTTTTTTGAGGTCAGCCCCGGCTCAAAAAAAATTTAACCCCTAGGGCGAGTTACATAATTGGTCCCCTAAACACATGCTGATAGAATACTAGATATAGACAATCATTAAACATCATGTCTCGAGCTGTTCCAAGTTTGCATCATATAATATGTTGCACTCCTCTCTGATAAATCTTTCTTCGAGTCTGAAAGATAAACCCAATAGTTATTCCAAAAAACGGTTTTTCCGAAGAACTTTAACTGCTGCAAAATCATGAATAACAGTATCAAAATCCATGCCTTCTAACATATTTTTCTCAATGCGTAAAATGGCTAAACCATTTAATCTTTCTTGAGACATTGAAGATCTCATGTAATTTTTCAATAGCTTTAACTTGGAGAAACTTCTCTCATTCAGATGCTACAGTAACATGTGTAGTTAAGAAGTCGATAAGCAATTGAAACATTTGGGTACCATCCAATATTTTTAACAAATTCAAGCACATCAGTAGGTGTCATTGGCACATATGGTAAAACCATTTGCAATCTCAACTTTCAATCCAGGATAAAAGTCATTTAAATCAACATATGATACAATGCCATGAGAAAATGTTTTTTGAAAATTAATGCTATGCTCTCTTAATTTATTTTCATCAAGTGACTTTAGTTTCTAAGAATCAAATAAAAACCCAAAAACACTTTTAAAAGTAGTCATTTGCTCAAACCTATTTTTAACCGAACTTGCCATATCTACGACAACAAGAAAATAATTAACTCTAAAATCATCTTCAACGGATAAAACTTCTCTATCAACCTCATCAGATTTGTTCAAGCAGTCAAGCGTAACAATTGACAACTAACAAACATCAAACCCAAAAAAAATTAATACTTACAGAGTCACAGACTCACAGATGAAACTGATGACTGATCGGTAGATGTAAAGTAGGAAAAGTGAATAGAAAACAAGAATTTAGCTCTGATTTGGACGATCGAAGTGTAAATTTTTTTTTTTTTAACTCTGAACCCTAGTGTTTTCTTCTCCTGTTTCATAATTTCATTTACAAATAAAAGTGTTAAAAACAAAAAATTGGGACCTTTGTTGTTGGGCCTATGGGTGGTCGTCCGTCTGCCCAGCCCATTTAAGCTGGGGCTAGTTGAGGTTTGACTAAGATTACAAAGTGAGAGAGAGAATTATACTCTTATACTATAATAAATAATTAAAAGTGTTTTTAAGAATTATTAAAAACCTAAAGTTATAAGTTTATTTATAAGAATATTAATAATTACATAGTGAAGAGTTTCTAAATTGGAAAACACTTTACAAAAACGTCTTATATGAGATGTTTAAGATATAATGTCCTAAATTAAAAGACACTCAACCATTAAAATAATATTTCCTTTTTCATATAAGTTTTTTTAAGAAACTCAACCATTAGAAGAAATTAGTTTTTTTTTTCTTGTATTTTTCTTCTGCCAACTAATATTATTTTCATTTATATAATTGTTTAAACTTTTTATTTTTTTAGGTGCTTTATAGCCAACTATAGCCCATACTATATTCGGGCCTGATTTTTTTTTTGTCAACAATAAAAACTATAAAATTGACTCAAACGAGCCAATTAGGAGATAAATTGTTTACATACTTAGCATAATGCAGAACGGAACGAACTATGCGTGCCAAATAATCCGTTTTTATATTTGTATTTCTCGAAATAAGATAGAGAATTCTTTCCTATCAGAGTTTATGTCATTCAGGCCTGGTTCATTACCAAAAAAATATAATAATCTGGCATGTTTCGGATATAGTATGGTAATTAAATTAAAAACATTTCCCAACCAAACAAGTTTTCGTCGTAGTCTAAAAATGAATTAACTATAAAATTCACTTCTTAGATTGCTAGTATAAATCTTAACTTAACAAATTAAAAATTCCCATCGGAAACTCCACACTTCGTTCCAAACTCTTAACTTTAGATCGCCAGCTAAAGTAAAGGGCTAACCACATGGTCGGTACACAGTACACCTACATATTCTTGATCATTTTGGTTTTACATACATAGATCATTATTATAACCCTAAGTTGCATTTAAATAGTCAAACGAATATAATCTTATCACTCACTTAGTTCTTTTACTCAAACAAGCCCACTTATCCTATAAATATTGACCAATACACTCTCAACTTCTTCACTAATCTCAAACATAAACAACACTCAAAACTTCTTCCAAGGCTAAGCAAAATGGCTCTTAGAAACTCTCTCGCCATTTTCCTTGCCTTCAACATCCTCTTCTTTGCCCTAACCGAAGCAGCCCGTTCAGGTTGTCCACCATCGTCGTCTTACAACAAACCCAAGCCAACCCCAAGCGCACCCGCCATCGAGACATGCCCAAAAGATGCTTTGAAGCTCGGTGTTTGTGTTCAGGCGCTTAACTTGGTGAATGTGACACTAGGTGCTCCTCCGGTTAAGCCGTGTTGCAGCCTTATTGATGGTTTGGTCGATCTTGAAGCTGCGGTTTGTCTTTGCACCGCAATTAAGGCTAGCATTCTCGGCATCAACATTAACCTTCCAATCAATCTTAGCTTGCTTCTCAACGTTTGCAGCAGGAAGGCTCCACGTGGCTTCCAATGCCCTTAATCTTAATCCTGAATTTATGGCCATGCATGCATGAAATGTGCTTGACCAACTTTTAAATTGTATTCCTTCCTTTATTATATGTTTTCCCTTTATTTTGATTTGGTGAATGACAGAATGAGCAACAGGAAGATCCTCACCAATCAAAAATTGAGTTTGTGTACTTTCTGTATGGCTTTATCTTGATAATAAAATATTGCTTTTTATTTCAGTTTTATGAACTTTGTTTGCGTCGCTCTATAGGGGACTTTAATCTGGTCCGTGAGTATTGGATTTGTTCATGCATGCACACGTGCAGTTAGGTATTCACGTAAAATGAACTGTACACTGATTTAAAATATATATACCTAATCATGGTCTACAATGTTGGTAGGAATCGGGACCAAAAAAATATATATATTCAAAAAGGTTATAACCTAGTGCTAATAAGAAAGAAAATTTAAGATATATATTTTTTTTGCTAACTAATAAAAAAGATATATATTTAGAATATTAAAGAAAGGTTATAACCTATAATTGTCCTTCTTTGAACCAAAAAAGAGTACTATATTCTTATTTAGAATAAACTTCTATACGTACTCTGAAGTCTTGAACTCCAAAACCTGGTTAACAGAAACTATTTACAAAATTTCCAAAAATTATTTACAAAAAAATGCAACCTTTTTTCCGTTGGTATGTTTGATTTTAAGCAGGTCTCACACGAATCACAACATAAGATCGACGGACGAAACACAAAAGCTTGTTAAACCAAAATAATAGGAATAAATAATAACTTTAGATTATAGAAATGTTTAATATGTACGAACTATATAGAGCTGTAATCTATAACAAAATAAAAAACACTATACAGAGAGATTAGTTTTGGCTCAATATAATTATAACCTCACGTACTTTGATATGAAGTAACTTTTGATTTTTACTACTATGTACACTTTCTACTCTTTTCTATAAACCAAAAGAAATCAGATGGAAGAAACATATATTTATCTCCTACAATCAAAATTAGATGTGATTATGTGAACCATATCAACTTTTCACTTTTCATTTATTCTAGAAATGCTGTGTATTTTGTTAATTAAAAATATGTTCATAAAGTAAAGAAGCTAAGGCGATGATCATCCCAATATCATTTTCACGTCTTTTAGATTATACTATGTAGTTAATAAAAGAGAAAATCATTACTAATAAATTAAAGGGAATAAAATTGACCAATCAACTGATCAATTTTATAGTAATACTATATGATTACAAGCCTGTCGAAGGAATAACTAAATTCTCGATCTCTCCAATAGCTACTACCCGTGACCATAGTTTGGCATGTTCGACATTAATTTTTAATATCCGCATATAATAAAAGATGGCACTAATATATACACGAAACTATTATATGTTATTTAATCAGCAAAAGGATCAAAGTAGTAGTATGATCACGTACAAACGCACATATATATCTTATAATAGGAATCAAGGAAATGTATTAACCGAAAGAGAAATAACAACGATGATTTTTGTCGTTAATAACACCATTATTGGATCTTAACTCTAACAATTATTTTACACTGTTCATATTTCATATTGGACATTGCTTTCTCTTCAAATTTGCAAAGTTTTAATTGGCCGCACTATATTTATCTGAAATATTTTCAAGTAAGACAAAGTTAAATTATGACTTTTTTAATTTATTTTTTTGCACACTATGAAAATTTAACTTTTTGATGATAAATCTGTGCTAAACCATTTAATAAAGCCTAACGTTGAAACCATACGATTGAGATATTTTCATATTTTAAACCCTAAAACAAATCCAAGCTACAATAGTCTATCTGTCCATCTTGTAAGTTGTAACATCTATTATACGGAATGAATTAATAAGTCCAACCATTAATTGAGAGTACTAAAAATATTATCATATGAAAATGAAGTCACAATTTTGTCTTCGTGTGAGAGATTATGTGATGTTTAAGAAATAATGAGAAAATAAGACTGCCCCGTGACCAAGGGATAATGATATGTTCACATGGACAAGCGTGAAGGAATAAAGAACAATGATTCCATTTTAGATGTGGTTGATTAAGTATATTTGCCAAGGGTGTCGAATACTAACACAAATAGATGTTTAATAATTTTGAGAAAATAACATAACTTTGCTTTTTATCAAAAAAAAAAAAAAAAACAAATAACTACTAACTCTGCTTATAACTCGGTGCCTATAATAGTAACTATGGAATAATTGTTCTTTACTATCGTAATAATAGCTGGTACGGATAAATTGTTGAAAATTATTCGAAACTTAATAGAATGTATGATCGGCTTTAAATTTCTTAGTAATAATAAATGCAAAAAAAATATATATAGAAATGTGTATATATATTCAAATTAGACAACTACAAATGTTTTTAAATAATAGTAGTAGATAACCACATGCATGTAAGAATAAAAAGCATGATAATATTAGTGGTTAGTTAATTATATATATATAGAAGCATATTATAACATGAAAGTGACTTCGAAGTGAGCGGTTTGGTATGAAGACTAAAGAGATAAGACATGAGACATTTTTCTGGTTATGTGCGAAGCTAGATTTCATATATATCACTTTTAAATGGGATGCAAAATAAATTAGTGAACTTACTTGTTGAGTTTTAGATAATACTATTTTAATTTTTAGATGAAGATTGAGAAAGTCTTACAGGTCGTGTGATAAGGGTGGTGTGGAGGTTTATGTAGAAACTAGAGAAGGATTTGGGGAAAAAGGGGAAAAACTCTTTATTATTGTGTGTGTTTAATCTCTAGAGAATTGATACAATATATAGAGGCTAACTTATGTTTAACCTAATTAGAATAGGAAACAGATAAACATGATTAAATAAATATTCTAAATCTCTTAATCCTTATCACACTTCTAAAATATTCTTCGACTTGGGCTTCACGGGTTCACTTTAATAACGGACTTTGACGGTTCATAATAGTTGGTCCGCAAGATACACATCTTGCTCCCCAAGATATCTCCAATAGTTTACATTAGACCAAGAGACTCGCCAATAAGGTAACACTTTGTTCAAAAGCAACAAAAAAATTTGATCGAGTAATGCACTTGCAATAGTTTCTTGTGTACCAAATTGGTTAAGGCTTTGGTTAACTAAAAACCAACTATGTATGTCTATTGGTGGCAAACGATAAACCAGCTATGTGTACCACTAATCATCAATAAAAGCTTTACGTTGAGGAAAAATGAAGAAGAACTATTTGGTATTTAACGTGGTGGAGGCATGAGGAAGTATCACGGACCAACGATTTCAGGGCCTTGTTTTGTTTCAACATAATTCGGCCTTAATTTCTTTGGGTCAAGTCCATTCACTCTAAATACTTTATGACTTGAGTCTTTGACGTGGTGCAATTGTACAAAAGATGGTTCTAACTTCTAACTCCTACAACGCAAATATATCCATATTTTCAACAAAAGATTATCCTATAACAAGGCATTACGAAATATAGTTGTTTGTATGGCCTAATTTCAAGAACCGACTTCTCTATTGTTTCATTGGTCATCGAGTTTAATCGCTATACGTGACTTGATATTTCAAAGTCTTTCATCGCTATACATGTTTTGAGGTTAGCCTTGGGTTGAAATTCGATGGCTGTCCACGCAACTCTAGCTATCTCGCGTTTGTTAGCGTTGCTACTTAATGTTTGAGTTTCTTTTGCTGCCTTGGTTCACATCATCCATTGCCTTTTGCTCTCATTCTTCAGCTAGATATTGTATTTGTAGTGTAACTTCAATATTATTTTTGCTCTCTTTCTTTAACTAGTTTGGTATTCATCTAGCCACTATCCATCTGTCAAGTCATTTATATTTACGTGACAGCGGAAACTATAAGATTAATAAATCTTAGACTAAAGCTCTAAAAGAAAAAAAAAAAAAAAAAAAAGTCTAACTATATCCTTACAAAATTGCATCAAGTTATATGTGTTCGTCATCTTTCATAGCATAAATCAAACTGGGAAAACAAAGAAATCAAATTGAGAGAGTCTAGAAATAGGTATGGCAAGATCGAACGTAAGAGGTTAGACAAAGGTTACGATGTTACCAAATTTTTGATCAAAAATCTTTGGATCACATTTAATCTGTTCATTAATTTAGGAAGTTGAGAAGTCTATAGTGACTTTGTCGTCGTTGGTAATCAATATCATGACTTTCTCTCACCACGTACGTACGTTCTTGTCATGCTCAAATCTCGATTCTAGTTCAGTAACAACTAGCAAGTCACATACGCACCACAATGGATACGGGAATCGATCAAGTACCGTAACTAACAAGTCACCTACGACGGACCATAGTTACATGATTTCATAAATTAACTAAAAATAGTAAGTAATTAATTTTCCCATGCAAATCCTTCAAATAACATTAAATGCAATTTTTTAATTTAAATTAAAACAATCATATAAACTTCAGTCGTAAATATATTTGAGTTTCTATAAATGTAAGCTTAGATAAAGCTTACATTGAGTTATTATAATTCATTATCTGATCTTTTCTATCGTTGCACACAAAAATAAAATAAAGTAATAACATCTCTAAATCCATCCATCATCCATGGATAGAAGATTAGCGTGGGTCACACAGTCCATTGATGCCTTGTATTCTTTAATAGATAAAGATCCTTTTATACTACAAAAGATTGAAGCATCGTCACCGTATGTGCATACGCCGCTTCATGAAGCATCAATGTTTGGGAAAACACTTATGGCCATGGAATTGATGGTGTTGATGCCATCGTTTACGTATAAACTAAATACACGTGGATACAGTCCATTGCACCTTGCCGTGGAGAACAATCAAGTCGAGATAGCACTAGAGCTAGTCAAGTTCGATCCCAATCTTGTTCGTCTTCGTGGCAGAGGAGGTATATTTCCTGAATAATAATTCTAGACCAGCTATGTTCTTTAGATCGAACTCCATATATATATATATATATATATGGTCCCCATTCATATATAGTTTGTAGATAGGCAACGTCTAACATTAATGATATTTTGTTCAATTTCGAAACAGGTGTGACACCACTACATCTTGTAGTGGAGAAAGGTGGAGCCGATCTCCTCACGGAGTTTCTCATGGCTTGTCCCAAGAGCATTCTGGACGAGAACGTAAGCGGTGAAACGGCTCTACACATGGCGGTCTTGAATGGAAGATATGAAGAGCTCAAAGTGCTTACCGGATGGTTGGAAAGAATGCGCCAAAAGGGGGCCTCGTCTATGGAGAGAGACATTTTAAACAGGAAAGATCGTGAGGGCAACACCGCCTTGCACTTCGCGGCGTATCAGAATAAACATCAGGTGTGTTTTTAAATATTCTTCTCTTATATATGTTGTACTTTGAAAATTAAAGGCATGATATATATATATAGGAGTATTTCTGTTATTAAACCAAAACAACACAATATGATTTGATAACTCACTTGTTAGTTTTATACATCATATACATTAAGGTTTGTAACTTTTTGGTGCATGGAAATTATGTTTTGGACAGGCAGTAAAACCTCTGTTGGAATGCCTCTCGCTTGACCGGAACATACAGAACAAAGATGGTTTAACATCTCTTGACATACTTCGAGCCAACGGTCGCTACATGGACAAAACCACTGAAAAACTAATAAAAAGTTGCGGCGGAAAGAGCAAAGCTGCTCTACCCAAAGTCAAGAAACCGAGTGAATATTTGAGATCACCGGTCACGTTCTGGGAATATTGTTCCATCCAAATTACTCGTTACAAAAGCGGCATATCAGACGGAACCAGAAACGCGCTTCAGGTGATAATCATACTCATCACCACGGCTACGTATACAACAGCTTTGCAGCCACCAAGATGCGAAAATAAAGAAGATTCAGGTTCTTATGATGAAACATGTCTAGTACTTTGGGGATTCAATACGGTATCTTTTTTTTTCTCCATGTTTTTGAATTTTATTCTCTTACCACCTGGTAGAGAGTACACTTGGTTCTATATCTTGATCGCAACCCCTCTCTGCTGCTCTTACGGGATAGCAATGATGTTGAACGGCGAGACAACAGCATACTTTCCAATACTTCTCGTGGTTGCGACCATTGTTGGATTTTTTTGTTATTTGATTTTCGTATTCTTGAAGTGGAAATTATCTATCCAGCTGAGGACAATAAAGCCCAAAAGCCAGATGATTTTGGAAGGTTTATCGACAATAATTTAATTAAAGCCTTTTTTTTACCCGCATATGTGAAAATTGAAAAACGATCTGTTATTCATATTGTTTACCAAATCCATTGATTAGAATATGTAATCGTTATTAAGATATAAGCAGGAATGTTTTATATTGTCGTGGAGAGCTTTGATCACGTTTGTTATTTGCCAGCATATTGGCTTTGCCATTCAATGTCATATTATTGATTCTTTTCCTTACCTATGTCTTTTTTCCAATAAAAATGCATTAAATATATATTAAAAAATTCAATGTTTGTGATACCCGATAAAATTAAAAAATTAAAATCAATTTTATGATACAGAGAAAGTATTGTTTTTGTGGAACATGTAGACATCATCATCATATGATTTGGCTGCCAATAACAAGAACAGAAAAAAAAAAATTCATTTCTTTTTTACTTCGATTAGAACATCATTATTAAGAATATCTTAGAGGTAAGATTTGCTTAAGAAAGTAACTTATAGATTTCGGTGGATCATATTAATACACACTTGATAATATCGTCCATCATGTTGACTGTTTCCATATCATCGTTGCAACGTTGATTTGTCATGTTCTTTTCTCATTTTTAGTTTTGAAACGTGAGGGTAGCAACTTATTTCTACTTTCACAATTTGGATTATATGAGAAGCGGATGAGTTTTCGCAAAATCTCCTTATATATGGTTCTTCTTAATTAAGCCTCTACTTGAAACTACTTGTAATAGTTTCTTGGTACTATAGATAGCAAACTACATACTATAAATAATGGACAATATACCATCGCATTTAGTTAACTGCAATACAATATAATCACATTCCATCACAAACAAAATCATGGTTTTCTCTAATGGCATCTTTTATAGTTTGTTCATGTTCTACGTTCTTGCAACTCTTTTTTTTCCTGAGTCGGTGTCATCATCATCATCATCAGCCCTCTCAAATGCTGCATCGGGAGAGCTAAATTCGAGACGCTTGATTATGTTTAAAAAAAAAACTGTTAGAATCGTTAATTCATTGTCTGGCAAACATGTTTTGAATGTAACCTGCTCATCTACAGAAGATAATTTGGGGTTACAACGTATTCCGTGGGGTCAAAGTTGGGAGTTTAAATTTAGAGTAAACTGGAAAAGGACTACAAAGTTTACTTGCGATTTTACGTGGCATAAAGGTGGATTTCACAAGTTTCCTATATTTCTAAACAGTAGAGACAGTGAAACCAAAGGGTGCAGCGTATGTATTTGGGAGGTCAGAGCAAAAGAAAATGAAAAACCGATTTGTCGTATAAGAAGAGATAAAGGACCTGCTTGGTGTTTTGATTGGGCAAAATAAACTCAAAAATAGTTATATAAAAGAAAAGAAGCTAAGTATTATATCTATATCTATCTCAATTCTCATGTACTGTATATTGTATGTAATTTTTAAGATATTTTGCTTTTGTTTCATTTTATCATAAATCTAATTTTGTTATGCTTATTCAATATTCAATACTAAATATAGATATTCCATAGTATTTTGATATTTTTGTGAGCAGTTGAATATTTTAAAATTACAATGTTAATAATATTACGAAAAACGTCTTATAATCAAATCTTTTCACATATCAAAAATAGCGGCTCAACTTTCATAAAGAAAAATATACAGAAAAAATTAAAAGAATAGCTAGATATCAGTAATTCACCCATCAATCTGTAACGTCCCGACCACCTTCTTTCCAGTGGGTCTCATGTTCACCACTAGCTCATGGGCCTAGATCTCTTAGTGGACCTCACGTCTTCTCACTAGGCCGATGAGCCCATCAATGTCCGACGGCCGGTTTGCAACGTTCAGGAGGCTTAATGACTTGTTTACCGACCCTACAAACCACCACATGATCTTTTCCTGTATTTTGGTCTTACTCACACAGTTCCGACAACTTGTTCCCGAAAGGTCACCCATCTTTTGACTACTCCAGCATAAGCATACTTTACTGTGGAGTTCTCTTAAGACCCTTGACCGAAAAAATAAATGCACTTTGATGACATAGCTGACCAAATTAATTCATTTAAACCCCTCCGCAAACTGGAATCTCATACAATCGAACAATTTTATAACGATGATTAATTTTCAATGATAATTATCATATTACTAAAAGCCTGTCCAAGGAATAACTAAATTCTCGATCTCTCCTATAGCCTACATTAGCATGTTCGACCTTGTTTTATAAATTATAATCTGAATATAACAAAAGATACCACTAAATAATACACGAAACTATATCATTCAATACTACAAATGACAGAAAGGTATTATCGGAAAGAGAAATAACAACGATGGCTTTATCGTTAAATATGGTTTCTGTATAACAGTTTTGTTGTTGGATGAACAAACAATGTAGGAGGGGTTGAGCCTGAATGATTTCATAATGGCGGCCAAGATATCAAGACTTCTGATCTTTCCCGTAGGAAAAGAGCTTGGGCATGACCTTCCTTATTTCATTTTTGTTTCTAACATTTTTCTTTGATTAATATGTAATTTATGTGATGTATTCTTCTTCCTCTACTTGTTCATTTCATAAGGACAGATGAAAATGCTTAAAGAAACTGAACTTTATTATTATTAGATCATTGTTTCTTTCTTTTTGCTGTTGTTGTTCAAACCCAACAACATTCTGGGACTAACACAAATAATGTCTCACATATGACATAACATAGCTACTTGTTGCATTCTAGAGTGCGGTGGTTGGAGGAGCAGCGTTTTTCATGCACTGTTGTTTTAGCATAGGTGGGAAAAACGGGTTGAATGGAAGGTTGGGTGTGCAGTTAGCTTCAGCGTCTAGGAAAGCTTTACAACAAGCTGGACCAACGGTCCAAATTTTTCCGGTCATGACGGCTTGTCTGATCTCTGCCAAGCATCCTGGCAAATCCATAACTGTCGACCAGCACTTGGTCAGGTCAGGCATCCCCGGCATACCGGGACTCGGTTGGAACGGATTTGGAAAAGGGAACTGGATAGGGGGAAACTGCGGTAACTGAGCATTAACCGAGGCTGTGATGCATAGGATAACCACTAGGAGAGGAAACACACTCTTGATCGACATGATGGGATTATATACAACAAGAGAATTAGAAGACTTGAGAGAAGTTTCAATATATAGTACTAGATGATTTGTAGTTTGGTTTTTGTTTGATGAATTTATGTATGGCAATGTGGTCAAATTTATATGAAAGTTATGGAATAGTAGGAGCGGATACAAATTAGGATTGCGAAACGTATACTAGTTAACATTTTAATCAATTTGGAAAGAAATCAAATACAATCAAAACGTTTGATTTATGGAGTAATTAGACACATTGAATCTGATAGTTATATATATATCAAGCACTTTGAGCAAGACAGTAAAGAAAAATATTTTTTTCCTAACCAGTCTCGCTTTGGTTAGAAATAGATAGGAGAAGACAACTGTAGATGACAGTAGGGAAACCATTAGCAAATTTTCTAAAAAGCATTAATCAGGATTTGCTAATGTACGTATATTTGGTTATAACATGGTCATTGGTGATAAACCAAATGTTTGCAAGATTGACTTACAAAATTTATTTTCGAAAGAGATCTCGTGGCGTAATGCAGGTTTTCATCTAGTTCTTTAACGTAATAAATAGAAGTGCGTAATCCAAGAAGTTAGATTAATTTCTGAGACTTTACAGTTTATTATTTTTAAAACAAGATTAATATATTTGATTTTATTCTTAAAAATCGTGAAGGCTCGTACATATATTGGTATAATTCAAAAATTTGGGGATTTGTCTTAGTTAATTAGTTTAGAAGATCGACTTCAACCACCAAATTTTGTTTTATGGATATATAAATATCCATATACTACTAATTTGTTAATTAAAACAAGAACCATATACTACTAAAGATTACCAGCTCATTTGTTCAATAATGACAAATTAAGTTTTTTTCTAATAATCAATCCCTTATCTCTTAATGAAAACCCTATAAATAGACACTAAACACTTAACATATCTCTCCACCCATCTCCAACAAGCTTAAACGCACTACTACTTCTTGAGCCTTTTCCACTCCACTCCACAAAATGGCTCCAAGAACCTCCCTTGCTCTTTTCCTTTCTCTCAACCTCCTCTTCTTCACTTACACCTCTGCGACATGTTACAAGTGCCTCCCCACCCCAACTACCCCGACCATCCCGACCATCCCGACAACCCCGACCACCCCGACTACCCCGACCACCCCAAGCACAGGTACTTGTCCTAGAGATGCCCTACAGCTCGGTGTTTGCGCTAATGTGCTCAAGCTAGTGGACCTAAAATTGGGAAACCCACCCGTTAAGCCATGCTGCTCTCTTATCCAAGGCTTGGCTGACCTTGAGGCTGCGGTCTGCCTTTGCACTGCTCTCAAGGTTAACATTCTTGGAATCAACCTTAACCTTCCCATCGATCTCAGCGTTCTCCTCAATGTTTGCAGTAGAAAAGCTCCAAAGAACTTCCAGTGCGCTTAAGTTTAAAACATAGCTACTAAATAAATGATTCATACAGTTTATGAATTTTTGAACCTATTTTCTTATCAAGCTATATTTTTCTTGTTGTAATTTCCCCGTATTGTTTATGATGAACGTACTCTCCCATGCAATAATGGGTAATGCATGGGTTTGTGTGTGCATGTACTTCTTTGCTTTGTTGTTCCTCCATCTCTTCTTTAATTTGTAAGTGTATTTTTTGAATTTGATTAATAAAAGTATTAATCGATGTCGTTGTCTATATTGCAATCTTCGGTGTCAGCATTAAGACATGCATGTACTGAAGTACATCCGACCATTTTGACAAAAGGCAACATACAGTATTTTGGCAAGAATTGTGTGGAAGTTCCTGAGAATTAGATTTTTGGTCATGCACACGTGTATTTAGGAGTATTCATATTAAGAAGAATATACAAACAGTATTCAGCGATTAATTAATTCTTCATCAAAAAGCCATGCATGGTCTACAGCGTCAATAGCAACATTATTGATATGGTCTATAAGAAGGTAACTTGATATTGGTGATACCATAAAAAGTTATAATTAAACTTTGTTAACAGGCCGGTCCAATGTTTCCTTTTCTTGGATGCCTTACACACAACTAAGAAACTAAGCGGGTTAAGTCAGCTCTCACAGTAAGATCGAATAGTACCATTATTGATGGTCTTTTACACAATTCTTAGCATAAAATTTTCTTAAAAAATCACGAAGAAAAATGGCCTAACTAAATCCAAAAGCTGGTTAAACTTCAAATAAATAAGAGTAAATAAATTTTAGAATACACAGATTTTATATGAACGATATATAGCTGTAGAGAGTTTGAATTATGATCTTTCATATATTTATACATGATATATATATATATATATGTATAGATGTTATAATTTTTATAATCAAAATTAATCATTGTTATTTAAAGAATGAGACATTTATTTTTCAATGAGGGATTTTTGACATAAATAATGACTTCCTAACTATATATCTTCACAAAATTTCATTATAACTTTTTTTTAGCTCAATGCAATAAGATCGGTTTCATGTAGTTTTCATTTTTAAAACTAAAAAATCATTTTCTTTCATTTTTAACTTCTGCCCTGATGAGAATTCAAAAGACATACCAATACTCTAGATAGTTTGTATATGTCAATTAAACTTTTGGCCAGTTTGAATTTTTATGTGTTAACAAATATTATGAAGTGTGAACTATGTTTTTTCTGTAGCAAAAAATAATTATGAAAACCTAAGCATCAGAATTTACGTGGTATTATCTTTGGACATCCATATATGTCGGGTCAACTTTCAAAAACAAAAAGATACAGCAAAAGTTCAACTTTGATCATTGATTTTATGCCATTACTATAAGTCTATATGTCTGTATGTAGTCTTTACAATTATATTTTGTTTTATTCCTTTCGTAAGATCATTTCCAATATCATCTTATTATATATAATTTTTTTAATTCAAAATAGAACATAGAGTTAATCTTTAATGCACGACTCTATATATTTACTCTATAATAGTGTAGCCGAAAGATTTAAGATGAAACATGCATATATTAATCTTCTGTAAATCATATGGTGACATATAAATAATTATGTTCATTAAGAGTTAACGTCGTGCCTAAGTGCTTTAATTTTAAAATATTGTATTCGTACAAACTTTATTTAGAAATACTATTGCATTGTCGCTAATTAAAGAGAAATAGTGAAATACCTTATATTAAAAAAGTATAATAAGAAATAAAGAATAAAATTGACCAATCAATTCTATAGTAAAGAACGATTTGGCATGATGATTATCATATTATTACAAGCCTGTCGAAGGAATAACTAAATTCTCGATCTCCCGTATAGCTATTACCCCTGAACCATACATTAGCATGTTCGACCTTATTTATATATAATCCGAGTATAACAGATGATACCACTAATACAGGAAACTATATGTTATTTATTCAGCAAAATGATTAAAATAATATGATCTCGCACATATATATCAGTCAATATGAATCATAGAAACTAATATACTGTCCGACAAAGAAATAACGACGATGATCTTGTCGTTATAACACCTTAATCTATCTATATATATAAAGTTAATTTTTTCTCTCTTCTCCTTAAGCCACATCATCATCCACCTCATTTTATTATTTAATTTTAAAAATTAATTATACCATTTTATCATTTAATTTTAATATTTAAACCTATGTAAATAAGTTTTTCCAAAATGAATATGAAAGGTCTTTTTATATATTATATATTATAAAACTAAAAAAGATAATTGATTAAGAGTTAAAAAAACTTACTAATTATCGATTATACTAACAAATATAATGTATAATATAAATCCCACATCATCATTCATCTTAATTTTTTATATTGATTTAGAATTACAACACTTTAGTTTTTAATTTCTTTTCTACCTCATAACTTAGCTTTTATTTTATTTTATATTCAATAGTGGTTTTAAGAAAATAAATAATATAGTAAAAACATTTATGTCCAAAATAAATAAAACAAGTATCTATTTATAAAGTAATGATCAATTTTTTGATTAATGGGGCTAAATATAAAAACAAAATACAAAGCAAGGATATTTATACTATACAGATAGATATACCACTAAATTGATGTCATCCGAAGCCACCTCAAACGAAAACACAACCGATTTTAGGCATAAGAAGTAGAAAAAAACTAAAAAGTAAAATGAAAACACTTGGATAAATAAATAAGTGGATTCACCAGAATAATTTGGCCTACAAGAATTGAATGCTTTTGAAATGTAAGGTTCTAACAGCTACTATTTGACCTAAATCAAAGTTAAACAAATAAAAATAAACATTTCATATACTAAATTAATACCAAAACAACAGTAAAAACAAAAAAAATAAACAAAAAACAAAGAAAAATCAAACTATAAATTTTAAAATATAAAATTTAAAATATAAAAAACAATTATAAAACTCCCGCGCGCAGCGCGGGTCAACAACTAGTATACATATAAAGTTAGCTTTTTCTCTCTTCTCATTCTCATGATGCCACCTAAGCATCTACCTAAGCCACATTTTGTTTTACATTAAAATATATTTTAAACATTCATTTAGTGCATATTTATGCTACTTATTTAATTAATAGAAAATTATATAAATAAAAATAAATTATGTAAATAAATGAAATGTTAAATAAGAAATACTTCCATTTTTATTAGTTAGTGGTAATAATATAATTCAACTTTCATTTTAAATTGATCATAGTTTAAAATTTTAAATGTGTTACTGAGTTTAAGAATGTAAGTAAATTTTAAATTTATGGTAGAATAAAAACAACATTTATGTAATTGTATATATAAAATTTTAAAGGGAAAAAGTAAAATTGAAAGTGAAATATTAGTTTATAACCTGATCAATAAGAAAATGCTATTAATCCAAATTTAAATATTAAAAGATAATAATTCAAGAGAAAATAACTATAATATGTTTTGAAAATCAATAAAAAATTAAATATCACAATATGAATAAAAAATTAACAAAAAAATTATAAACCTCCCGCGCGTAACGCGGGTCAACTGCTAGTATATGATATAATTCTCTAACAATTATATTACATAATTTATTTGGAAATTGCTATCTTTCCAAAAAATTTCTTTTTTTAAATAATCAAAGAGGTTTTGGGCCGAAACTCATACATCTTCTCAGGTCCAAAACCAAAGCATATTATATGGTTTCGTCCCAAGCGCTAATCGAACCAGCGATCTTCTAAGCGTTTGACAGAAATCTTTACTAATTGATCTATTACCATTTGGTTATCTTTTCAAATTTGAAAAGTTGCAATTTGTAAGTACTCGGATATTTTTAAGTTCGATAAATTCAGATTATATATATCTTTTTAAGTTAGACAAGAACTTTTTTTTTGTTTTTTTCACACTATGAAGCTGACCTTTTGATGCCAAATTTTTGCTAAACCCATCTAAACAATACTAACAGTGAAATATTTTTAACCAAAAGAAAAATCGAAACTTGTCTATCTGTCCATCTTGTAACCTCTGTTATACGGAATGATTTGATAAGTCCAACAATTTGAGATTCTTAAAAATATGATCTACTAAAAATGAAGTCAGAAACTTTGTCTTTGTGTGATATTAGTCTGCCTCGTGACAAAGGATAAGATATTTTCAAATGGACAAGCGTACGTGAAGGAATAAGGAAAGTCATTTCAAATTTTAGTCTTCAGTAACAAATGTTTATTAATATAATTACGAGAAAACAGAATCCTAGAAGTCTAGAACATATATTCATGCTAATGTAGGTAATATATTTGATTATAACTTGGTGCTATACTACTAACTATGGAATAATTGTTCTTTACTAACGCAAAAATAATAGTGTGTAATCCAAAAAGTTACAAAATCGAATGACAACTGATCATACATATAAAAATTCACACAAAAATAAAAACATGTTGGGTTCAATTCTTTAACCCAAACCAACTTTTCCATTAGTATGATATTGTCTGCTTTAAGCCTATAACTCAAGGCCGCACGGATTTGTTAGACTCCTTCCCAAAAAGTCTCATACTAATTGGAGTTGGAGTCGACTTATATATTAGAAACTTCTCTTTCTAATCTTCCGATATGGGATATTGGTTTGTATTCCAATAAAGCATACATAAAAAAAATTAGTCTACTACATCTAAGTTATTAAATAATATTGGAACCATGTACTCTTCGAGATTACCAGCTAATTTGATCAATGACAGTTAAATTTTTAAAAATTAAATCGTATATATAAGAAAATTAGTCTATTAATTAATCCACTATCAAAGACAAATTATCAATTAAACCTTCACAATTCTCTCCTAAAGATAGACACTAAAAACTTAATATTTCTCTCCACCCATCTCAAACAAACTTAAACGCAATACTACTTCGTGAGCCTTTTCAACTGCAAAAACAAATGGCTCCCTCTCCCTTGTACTCTTCTTTTCTCTCAAATTATAAATGCCATTAAGAAAAAACTTTGCTTTTTGAATATGATCTTTTAAGAATTAGCATTGCATGCCTCTATCATTACCACCACATTATATATATATATATATATATATATATATATATATATATTACCTGGTTTCTACTATTTAAACCATATCAATTTCTTTCATTTTTCATGTTTTTTATAGATATATTATGAAAA